AAAAAAAAAAAAAAAAAAAAAAATAGAGATGTATTCTCTTTTAGTTCCTATTTAATTCATACACTGAAGAGGATGTGATGATTAAATAATACCTATTTTCCAGCACTTTGTAAGATGCCAGAGAAGGCAAAAAATATCAATTCACAACTTTCCCATTTGTACATTGCCAGTTAAATAAATTAATATGTTTTCTGGGACATAATTTAGATCTGTACAGCAGTGGGCCTGATCTGGCCTCTTCTGAGCCTCTGGCTGACATTTACTTTCTAAAAAAACCAGTAATTTGAATGAGCCAGTTATTTCATAGCTATACTCATTACTTTGTAAAATGGTAATGGTAAGGGAGAAAGAAAAAGATAAATTGAAATAGAGAGAGAGAGAGAGAACGTACCACATGAAATACACGTTCCTCATGCTCTTGCTGTGCTTCTTGTTTTCTGCGTCTATACTTGCTGACAATTGTATCGGCATTGTTGCTTCTCCTCAGTACCCCAGTAACCTAAACAAGATACCACAACCCACAACCATGAGCCAGGAATTTCAATCTAGATAGCAACTAGTACAGATAGTACAGACCATTTCATCAGTAATAAGTATAATTTTAATAGTATCTTTAAGGACAACAAAATTGCTTGGTTCTATCTAAGGGTATAAGATTAAAGTGCCATTCAGAATAGGGGACTAACTAGTCCGAGGGTCAAATATGGCGACCCACTATAAGGCTGCGTTCACATGAAAAATCTATTTTCTAAAAATCTATTTGCAGTATCTTGTGATCATGGTCTGTGCCCTGAATACCCCACGGCGTAATTACTGGCAGCGCAGAGAATTAATTACAGCTTTGGAAGTAACTGGCTCGCGCTGCCCGTAATTACGCCGCGGGTATTCAGGGCACAGACCGTGATCACAAGATACCGCAAATAAATTTTTAGATTTTTAAAAACGCGGCCTAAAGCGTGCCATATAATCCACTAGTAGACACTGAATAGATATCCTGTGGGGAAGTATTCAAGTGGGTCGGCCACATTTGACCCTCGAACTAGTTAGTCCCCTATTCTGAATGGGGCCTAAAACTGATTGAGAAAACATATTTAAAATCTCACCTTGTTCCCAACTAGTCTGTAGTAGCCGTACATGATGCCAGAGGTCCTGTAGTGCTTGGAGACCAGTTTGGGGAGCACTGTGTGGGGGTCATCAGCTGTGGTTAGGAGCAGCATGTTGCCTGAAAGGTCATTAGGTCAGGGGTCATGAAGACCAAGGTGAAGGTCACTTGTTAAATGCATTCATATGCATTTCAATGCTGGAGTATATATGCAGATAGTTTTTACTTGTAGCATGTTGCAGCATTTTTACTTGTAGCAAGAAGTGTTTGTATGTATTTATATTATTGTATGCATTAATGAGAGAGAGAGAGAGAGAGAGAGAGAGAGAGAGAGAGAGAGAGAGAGAGAGACTACAACTAACACATCAGAAACGGGTCGTGTTCTGACCAAACAAATAAGCCTAACAGTAACACATATCATCATATTTCCATACTATTCAGTCATAACAGTGTGATCTTTTGATGATGTTTTTTTTTAATCTATACAGGTCTGAATGAAGAGAGAGAGAGAGAGAGAGATCACCCTGAATCTCACCATCAGCAAAGAATCTTGCATATCTGTAGTACTCCACAGAGTGCCAGGGTCTGTAGAAGCTGTCTAAACTGGGTTCCCCAGGGCGATAGTATACAGTCTTACTGATATAACATCCTAAGATAAAGTATTAGGGTTTACAATATGTATTTCAAATAAATGTGAACAAAAACCATTAATTGAAAAGTCCCTTTTAACAAAAAATTGAAATTTCAAAGTGTCATAATTTTGTACATTAAATCAGAATGGCAAAACATAATGCGGGGCAAGTGCTATCATTCTGTAATACACCAACATGACTACAGAAATCAGGACCAAAATTGTTTGAACTTTTAACTTGTCTGAACATGACACAATATTACCGTGAACATGGACGTGAGGCTTGTTGAGGTACAGCAGTCTCCAGGAACCTTCACTATCAGTGTGCTCACAGTTCAAACCCCAGGTTCTGCCAAATAAATAATTGAATACAATAAATAAATAAATAAATAAATAAATAAATAAAACTGCTAGGTACTAGTAATGTCACTCTTCATTCAATTATTCAATTATCTCGTAAAATGTCTAGTCTTTTATCATCTATTTATTCTTTTTTTCTGTAAGTAATACACTAGTCAAGCTTAAAATAACATGACATGTGGTGGAGATCACTGATATTCATACCCTTATAAAAAGTTAAAAAGATTGGTCTCTTATATATTACCTGAGACTGGCTAGCCTCCAGAGTTCATCATCTCTGGCACACAGGTAAAACCCTCGACACACCTGTAATGTACACAATAATCCCACGTTATACTCCCATCAGTATAGCATACACAACAATTTCAGTTTATATTACCATCAATATAGTATACACATACACACAGTATAGTAATTTGTAATTAGTCATAGCATTTAAAATATGTTTTTCAGCGTCTTTTGTATGAGAGCTGCTGGTAAAAGGCAAGTTGTACACCCCTTAATGATGAGTTGAGCCATCATGCCCCTTAGGTGAAAATAAATAAATAAATAAATAAATAAATAAATAACTATATGAATAAATAAATATCAGAACTTCAGAAAAAGTGTCCTTACCATAGAGAGTTGTTCCAAGGATCTCATATCTAATTGATCTGATACGACCCATTTAAATATGTACATTAATACTTCCACTGGTAAAACAGAGATGTGGGTTTTCTGGAAAAAAAATGAACTTATATGCAGATTTTATAATTTCATGTGAGTGGTGAATTTCTTTATACAAGGTAAATAGCTTTAGAATTAAAAGAACAAATATTCAACATTATACACATACATAATTACCAATCAAAGAATTTGGTATCATTTAATCTTAATCTAAATTCTATTGCCAAATATTATAACATGTTGACTATTGATTTAATGCCACATTCAAAAGCAAAAGCTTAGAAAGTCCAACTCAAATGACTTCTGTTATTAATGAAAATTGTCACACACATACTTGCTGCTCGTACTCTGCCTCGCACACGTGCTTCACATCACGACGCACACGCAGTTTCTGAAAATGCTGCACAAGATCGTCCAAGTCTGCCTCCTCCTCATCTTCAGTCTGGCCACTTACAGGAGAATGAAAAACAAACAAACGAATAATAATAATAAATAAATAAACAGTGACATAATATTTAATATTCCAAAGTAAATCATGTACATATTTGGTAGTTAATCAAGTTAAATAAAGTTAAGGTTGGGGTCTATTAGTCTGGGTGAAATGTATCACCCTTTGGATACACGTAATTAGTCAACCTACCTTGCACTTCCAATGGAACTACTGCTTTCTAATCTCTCTGAGGGGAAAAAAGCAAAATATTATTAAGTAATAATCTTTATCTTATAAAAATTAATATTGCAAAACGAATATTAAATTATTGTTGCAAACATGCATATATTGTTGGTGTTTTCCGATGCTTTCACTTTCACCACTGGCACTGTTTCCTGAGGGCTCTTTCCCAATGTAACTTATGTTTTAGGTACCAGTTCTTCTGTATTGTAGTCAACACCAGGAAGAGGGGTGTTGATCTGTTCATCTTGGCCCCGTAACTCAAAAGCGCGTTGTGACCGAGCGTAAGCGTCACGATTCCCTAACTTGCCCATACTTGCCCCATAAGGGGGTTATGGAATTGAGACTCTTGCGCTCGGTCGCAATGCGCGATGCTTTCAAGTTATGTAGCCCTGCATTTAGCGATCATATTCATTACGTTCACTTGAGGTTAGAATACATCACAGTGTTCAGGAATGACTTTATCAGCAAAATCTGGGCGACACTTTCATTTTATCAGACAACTGCTTTTTCATAAAATAAAAGGACACAACTTTGATCTTAAAGTATGCACCTATTTTCAGTTTTTTTGGGTAAAATACTTATGTGAAACATTCCCCTGCTGGGCTAGTACTTACCTCTTTTCCGGACTTTGTTTTTTCTCAGCTCCTCTATCCTGAACTCTATGTCTGGTACCAACTGGATGGCCTGGCGGTAATACCTGACAGCTAAATAGAAATTATAAATAGATCAGACTATAGAATAAGAGAGGTGATACCATCCCCTGGGTTTGTACCACCAGCTGGATGGCCTGGCGGTAATACCTGACAGCTAAATAAAAATTATAAATAGATAAGACTATAGAATCCGAGAGGTGTTACCTCTCCCTTAGTATGTACCACCAGCTGGACAGCCTGTTGGTAATACCTGACAGCTAAATAGAAATTATAAACAGCTCATCATGCTATAGGATCAGAGGGGTGACATGAATATGCATATTTCCAAGTAAAGAAAGGGTNTTCAGGACCAAAATTGTTTGAACTTTTAACTTGTCTGAACATGACACAATATTACCGTGAACATGGACGTGAGGCTTGTTGAGGTACAGCAGTCTCCAGGAACCTTCACTATCAGTGTGCTCACAGTTCAAACCCCAGGTTCTGCCAAATAAATAATTGAATACAATAAATAAATAAATAAATAAATAAATAAATAAAACTGCTAGGTACTAGTAATGTCACTCTTCATTCAATTATTCAATTATCTCGTAAAATGTCTAGTCTTTTATCATCTATTTATTCTTTTTTTCTGTAAGTAATACACTAGTCAAACTTAAAATAACATGACATGTGGTGGAGATCACTGATATTCATACCCTTATAAAAAGTTAAAAAGATTGGTCTCTTATATATTACCTGAGACTGGCTAGCCTCCAGAGTTCATCATCTCTGGCACACAGGTAAAACCCTCGACACACCTGTAATGTACACAATAATCCCACGTTATACTCCCATCAGTATAGTATACACAACAATTTCAGTTTATATTACCATCAATATAGTATACACATACACAGTATAGTAATTTGTAATTACGTAGTCATAGCCTTTAAAATATGTTTTTCAGTGTCTTTTGTATGAGAGCTGCTGGTAAAAGGCAAGTTGTACACCCCTTAATGAAGAGTTGAGCCATCATGCCCCTTAGGTGAAAATAAATAAATAAATAAATAAATAAATAAATAAATAAATAACTGTAAGAATAAATGAATATCAGAACTTCAGAAAAAGTGTCCTTACCATAGAGAGTTGTTCCAAGGATCTCATATCTAACTGATCTGATACGACCCATTTAAATATGTACATTAATACTTCCACTGGTAAAACAGAGATGTGGGTTCTCTGGAAAAAAATTGAACTTATTTGCAGGTTCGATAATGCAGCCTTGAATGTTTTTAGAATTTTGAGAGTCAAAATTTACAAATGGCTTCATTGTCAAACTTGCATATGAGTGGTGAATTTCTTTACACAACATAAATAGCTTTAGGAATCTAAGATCAAATATTCAACAAAATACACATACAAAATTACCAATCAAAGAATTGGATCGCATTTCATCTTGATCTAAATTGTATTGCCAAATATTATTAAATGCTGAATAATGACTTATTGCCACATTTAAAATGAAAAGCTTACAAAATCCAAGTCAAATGACCTGTGGTATTAATGAAAATTGTCACAAACATACTTGCTGCTCATACTCTGCCTCGCACACGTTCTTCACATCACGACGCACACGCAGTTTCTGAAAATGCTGCACAAGATCGTCCAAGTCTGCCTCATCTTCATCTTCAGTCTGGCCACTTACAGAATGAAAAATAAATAAATAAATAAAACTGACATTACATTTAATATTCCAGAAACTTGCAGAGGTTAGGTAATTAATTAAGTTAAACAGAGGCTGGGGTCTATTAGTCTGGGTGAAATATATCACCCTTCAGATACATGTAAATACTCAACCTACCTTGCACTTCCAATGGAACTACTGCTTTGTAATCTCTCTGAGGGGAAAAAAGCAAAATATTATTAAGTTATAATCTCTATCTTATAAGAATTAATGTTGTAAATTAATATGATTTTATTGTTGCAAGCATGCATACATTGTTGGCGTTTCCGGATGCTTTCACTTTCACCACTGGCAAAGTGTTGTGGGCTCATTCCCAATGTAATGTTTTAGGTGCATCGATGCACCTCTGTAGAGACTCTCATTGAATACAGTCAAATAAATAGATTAACATGCCTCCTCTTGTTTGTAATGTATTCATACATTTTATCACCAGTTCTACTGTATTGTACTCAACACCAGGAGGAGGGGTGTCTGTTGATCTGGACCCCGTTACAAGAAAGCACCGTGCATTGCGACCGAGTGCAAGTGACTAGATTCCATAACTCGCCCATACTCACCCCATATGGGGGTTATAGAATCAAGACTCTTGTACTCAGTCGCAATATGCGATGCTTTCTAGTACTGGGGCCCTGATTGTATTTAGCAATCATATTCATTACATTCCCTTGAAGTCAGAATATATCACAGAGTTTAGGAACAACTTTATAAGCAATATCTGGGCATACCGTCATTTATTCGGACAGCTTATGCTTTTTCATAAAATAAAAGAAGGACACCACACTGATCTAAAAGTCTGCACCAATTTTCAATTTTTGGGGTAAAATAAAATACTTATGTGAAACATTCCCCTGCTGGGCGAGTACTTACCTCTTTTCCGGACTTTGTTTTTTCTCAGTTCCTCTATCCTGAATTCTATATCTGGTACCAACTGGATGGCCTGGCGATAATACCTGACAGCTAAATAGAAATTATAAACAGTTCATCACACTATAGGATCAGAGGGGTGACATGAATATGCATATTTCCAAGTAAAGAAAGTCTTCACTCCTCCTGTTCTATGTAACAAGTTTTGCATCTAATTATATTCTTCTGGTCCAAGCACTGGTTGAGAAGACCCCCCCCCCCAAAAAAAAAAAAAAAAAAAAAAAAAAAAAAACACCTCTTATAGAATCTACCTACGGTCCAAACAGCATTGTTAGAGGACATTCAGAAACAGAAGAGCCAAGTGCTAGCTGGCCCACAACCAGTCAAATTGAGCCGAGATTTAATTAGTGCCCCTGCAGGGATGACGCGTGGGGGCGTGCAAGAGGTAGAGAGACCATTACACGATTAAGCAGTCTTCCTTTCATGTAGGTCTGCCATATTCAGGCTGTGGACCAGCTAGCACTCGGCTCTTCTCATTCCGAATGGCCTCTTACTATGGATGTCTGGGACAATTACCTTCAAACAACATTCCTGACTTTTCAGCATTCACTCCCACCAAAAACAGACGTCTAGCCTAAACGAAAAATAATATTATTCTGATAACACAAAGTGTATGTATAAATTCAACATAGTAAAGTTTAGACAATTGCTTAACATATTCTTACTGACCAGCTTAAGAAATTGAAAATATTTCATTATTTTTTCCGACATTTACCTTGACTAATTTCAAATTTTCCAATATGTCTAAAATAACATAGCCACTATAACTAATTTAAAATGTTTGCCAGAAAGAAACTTTCCCGTACTGTAACTGACTCGATCACTGGACTTAAAACTTTATTTCATATCTTATATATTCTGATATTTGGAATATTAATATGGATAAATATTTTGCTTTTAATATCAAAATCTCAGAGACCAGCTATACGTTAGCCTTACCTTCTCAAAATCATTTACATTCACATCCTCTGTTGACTTTTTTCCTGGACCATTATCTTGACCTTGACCTGACCTGACACCCTTCTGACCTTGACCTTTTTTCAACTCTTGCTGCCACTGTGATCTGAATTTGTGCAGCTGATCTTGAATATTAGACGATTCCTCCGACTCCTCCTGTTCCTCATCCTCTGAAGAAGAATCAGACCCAGCTGTTCGTATGGCATTTTCATCCTGCAAGAAAAGGGGGAATACTGGTACACACTGGTGTTTTAAACATGGGATGTCTCATGGGAAGTGAGTTAAAGTTTATTTTGAAAGCAGCACCTGTGTCCTCTTGATCCCCTTATAGTTTTAGTACTAGCTGATGTCTAAATGGAGTCCATATTCAAATTTAGTTAAAATAGCTAGGTAATTTATTAACACATTTATAATATACACGGAAAATCACCACTAGAACTACAAGTTTTGAATTACTATTATTATCGTCAGAAACGTGTATAAATCAAATTGATACCGGTTGGTAATATAATTCTGGAACTTACATTAACTTAAGCAGCAACTGTAATGTAATGTAATGCAGGTTCTGGAATTTGATTTATAAAAATCTCTGATTCTTATTCTATTGCATGGCTAAAAACATCCACCCTTTTACTACCACTATTACTTAGCAAGGCCTAGCAAATCTTATTACCAGTTTACTTGGCAAGAACAGGGTCAGGGGTACCATATTTCCCTCAATTGAGTCGGAAAGGTTAAAATGCTACTTGACAGTCCTGCACTTATTTGTAATATTATGCTTCACTTACCATTGCATAAAATGTTCAGTTGTCCTATTCTTTCAGGCGGTTAGTTCACGGCAAGTGAAGCAAATAACGGAACTAAAAAACAATCTGGCCTTCCTGAAAGCCGCCATTTTGGAATAGAGGGAAGAATGGAGAACACGAAGGAAATGACGTGAAATGATATCGATTGCGAGGCTACGGCGAAGAGACAGACATAAAGTGTTGAACTTTACTGTAATTTGGCATTTATATGTTATTCTTTTCATGTTTAACATACAAAGTGAAAATTTATAGCATAGAATATTGAGTTATGCAAACTGAATTCGAAAAAAATCATTGGAGTGAAACATTTTCAGGGATGCAAGATCGGTCTCCTCATACGCTGTCAAAGGAAGAAAAACCCACCGATGGCTGCAGTTAGTTGGACATTTACGAGTACAAATGGTAGGTTGATTGGTGTTTGTTAACTCTGAACTTGAGAAAGATTTAAGATGCAGAGATATGGGGTAAGTGTAATATTTCAATTGACGATCGTTGGTTGAGTGATAGCTGTATTTCTTGATGTTCAGCTGGACAACTTTGACAAAACTTGGGTCCAAGTTCTCAAGATCATTTCCACAGTCGAGATTACTGCCAAGTCAGAGGTTGTAACACAAAACAGAAACATGGGTTGCGATCTTATTTCGCTTTTCCTTTTTCGACAATACGCTAGAAAAGCCTAATGAACCTAATGGTTTAAGTCATGATTTTACCAGTTATCATCTGTTGCACATGCTGCATTTTTTTTTCTAATCTGAAGTCAGTGAAGATAAATTACTAGTAAAGACATTCAGACCCTCATTACAGTGTGCCTCTAGTTTACTTGTACCTAACCCCCATTTATATATCATAGGGAAGAAATAATATAGGAGGAATAGGGTCATGATTAATGAGATACATGCTGTGCTTTGTGATTCAGTCAGTCTGCTGGCGATCTACTTACGAGTTCATGTTTGTGACTAGATACCAAATGTTGAGGAAAACATAATTAAATAATTCTAATTAAATCATGTTTTAGGCTTCATTCACATGCAATGTCTATTTTCTAAATTCTATTTTCTATTCGCGGTATGTCTTATGATCACGGTCTGTGCCCTGGCGTAATTACTGGCAGCGCGAGCCACTTACTATAAGTTACTATAAGTAACTGGCTCGCGCTGCCAGTAATTACGCGGCGGGATATTCAGTGCACAGACCGTGATCATAAGATAGCACGAATAGAAAATAGATTTTTAGAAAATAGACATTCCATGTGAACGAAGCCTAAGACCAAAGCTTTCTGACTACCTCAACACAGAATACATCAGTAATAATCTCTTACTTGTGGATGTTGGGCCCATTTCACAGAATGGGTGAAAGGAAGAAATGGCTAAAATTTTAAGTAAAATTATAATAATTCTTCATTTTGATTTTATTTTAATAGTGTGCTGTAAATTAGTTATATCCAGCTTACCTATAATATCACTGTGGTTGCTTAGTAATGGATATTTATAACATGAAATGAAGTTTTGAATATAAATACATGTTAGTTACACACAGCTAAATTCAGGAAGCAGTGTGGGCATGTTAGATTTATTTTCAGTTCATTAAGTTGAAATTATGAATGGGCACTGCAGTTGTTATCTGTGTGGACAGTGACCTGAAAGTGAAGATATTGATACCTAGGATGTATATTTGGAATTCAAAACCAAATGATAGTATTCCGCTTATCACATGGTATGTAGCATCACAATTTGGATTAGATAATTTCTAATGGAACTGCAGATATAAGCAAATATTTGAGAGTAGATTTGTGAAGGGCAAATGCACACAAGTTTTTTTTTTTTTTTTTTTTTTTTTTTTTTTTTTTTTTTTGGGGGGGGGGGGGTGTTGGTAGGGTGAGGTGGTGTGGGGTNCAACATTGTAGGAAATTAATTGCAAGATAATAAGTAAACTTATGTGAAAATTCATAAATTTGGGTGTCTGAAAGTACACTGTTCTGCATCAGTGCTCATGCAATAGCCCAGATCACACATTTTTTTAATAATGCATTATTATTTTTGTCTCCAAAATATACAAATTGATTTAACACTTTCACTTTAAAGTTCAAACCCCCCTCTTTCAAATGACATAAAGCAAAAACACCTGTTTGCTTGGAGACATTGAGAAAAATGAGATTAAAAAGGTGGGGTGTCCTTCATTTTTAAAAAATGATAAGGATTTTTCAAAGTTAAAATTTAGTGTATTTTAATTATGCCAGACCATTTTCAGTATGATAGTTGGGTTCCTGAAATGTTAAAATATAAAGTCATGAAAGCTGCAAAGCAATGGGATATTAAGAACTATTGTTATAGTGTTTTTCTTAACTAGGTCACCATGACCTAGATCCATGTGAGGCACAGCAAGCCCTCAGCTGGGCCCAACTTTGGAGAGTCATAACTCTGAAACCAGTTGAGATCTCAATCTAAAATTTCAGGATTTTTCTAGTCCCTATAATATCTACAAAATATGTGAAAATCAGCAAGTTTCTTGACGGAGGGTACCCTCGCTGGATGAGTTGATATGGAATGACCCTAAATTTGATTTTCACCCACTAAACTGTGTCATAGAAAATTGGCAAGCTTGTGAAATAGAATCATTGAAAACAAAAGATAAAATTCTAATTGAAATAAAACCAGACATTGGATAAGCCTGAAACCAAGTACACCTACCGTCAGGGTTTCCACTAGATTTTGCATGTGAGGGTCATTTTGACCCCCACTTTTTAAAAATGGGGGTCATTTTCAAAATTTAGGGGTCAATAATTCATAAGTTTAAAATAACATTGAAATAAATATTAGAAGCAATAAAAACAACAAAAGTCATAAGTGTTATTTATGGGGTACTCTGCCACCAGACCATCCCTATCAATGACAGACCTTATCATGTGAAAGCTGTAGGTGACCAGGGTCATTTAAAGAATGTCACTAATGGAACTTTCTGAATTTTACTGACATTTACAAAATTTACAGACTTTACGAAAGGCCCAAAAAATCTGTCAGACATTCGGTTTGACAAGCCTGAAAATTCTGTCAGACCGAAACAAAATCTGTCAGACCGAAGTAAAATAATAGAAATATGACAAATTATTTATGTTTTCAGGTGTATTTTTAAACGTTTTTAATTATCGACATTAAATCTAATATAAATTTATATATATACAGTATATTAAAAAATTAGACAAAAAAAAAATCATTTGCATAACAAGTTGCTTTTTATCTAATGAAAAATGCGTTGTAGATTGACACAAGGACTAAAAAATACAAGGGTTTCCGTTAGCGCAATATTTGTGCGTCCCTGACGCTTTTTTTATCAAAAATGACCCCCATTTTTAAATGTATTGCGTCCATTTGACGCACATTTATCTCATTTATTCGGTGAGTTTTCAAACTGGCTGGGAATGTGTAAATACAAGGAATACGTTTTTCTTTCTGGACGATATTTTTACTTCATTCGAAGAGACGGGATGAAAATTCCGGGAAGTTCCCAGCTAATTATACATAATTTATTAACCTCAGTTTCACTCACATATACTATTTTGTGACTGGCTGAGATTGGGGATGATGTAATATACAGTCTCGTTTTCGTTTCCGTGATACCCTTACACCACAAAATGGCCGCACACATGTGCTCACGCTTTTCGCGTTTTTTACAGACTTGTTCCTCTGTTTCTTCATTATCAGTTGTGCACATTAGTCATGGCTAAGCGTTTTGTTTAAAAAATGACGTTGTTGAACTTAAAATACTTCGTTGGTGCACAGCGTAGCAAAAATGAAAACGAAGTGAGGAAGAGAAACGGATTGATACTGAAATTGGAAAGAAGGTGGGCCCCGGCGGACTTATAATCTGGAGGGTGTGACTGAAATGCGCAATATACTGCAATACAGCGCAACACAGCGCAATACACTTGATAACACAAGTCCAGTTGCAAGTAAACACAGGAAAGGGTAATCTCAAATAAAATGGGGTGATATAAAAGCAAAATATAGTACATAGTAATTAATATTGCTGATACAACTTGACAATTTTTTCATTGTTTGGTCAGTCGCCATGTTGGCGAGTAGCTCTTCTTGGCCAGTAATATATCCAAGAAGAGCCACTTGCCAACATGGCTGCAAACTGGACAATATAAAAGTCTTGCTGATTTGTTAAGTTATATCAACGATATTACTTACCTAGTAATATAGGTCATTTTTATATCACCCTACTTTGCTGGGAATGGTAATTTTTTTTTGTGTAATTGCAACTGGATTTGATTTTTGAAGTGTATTGCACTGTGTTGCGCTGTATTGCGGTGTATTGCGCAATTCAGTCACACCGTAATCTGGAGGAGAGGAAAAAGGTGTGTAGAGTTAATATTATTATCAACAGCAACATAAATCTTACTGCTTTACGGGTTCTGAAAATTATCGAGCACATGTATGTCTCTTCTTCCCGTCTATCATACACCTGGACCAGTAGTGGTTTCTTTAGACGTATATGGACAGATACAGATGTATGTACCGGTACATGCACCCTACAGTTCACGACCACTAGTTGGAGAAAGTGCACATGAACTCGATGAAGGCTCACAGTTTGAATTTCTTGTTATCAAAAAGAAATAAAATGAAGAAGGAATTTAGACTCAGGGTGGACAGTCCCTATCAAAGTTTCAATTGTATGAAAGCGACCGCCTTACTTTGCGGTTTCACAATGCATATGTTATTGCCAAAAACAACGGCTGAACTAGTTTTCTGATTAACAGACGTTTTTATGGACATACGTTTGATATTACTGGCTACACATTCTTCATTGTATTTTTTTAGTCCTTGTGTCAATTTACAATGCATTTTTCATTAAATAAAATAAAACTTGTTATGCAAATAATTTTTTGTCTATATTTTTTCTACAAGTTTATATATATATAATTTGTCATATTTGTATTACTTTACTTCGGTCTGAGAGATTTTGTTTCAGTCTGACAGAATTTTCAAGCTTGTCAGACGGAATGGGCCTTTGATAAAGTCTGTAAAATTTGTAAATGTCAATAAAATTCAGAAAGTTCCATTAGTGACATTCTTTAAATGACCTACACCTTTCACATGATATGGTCTGTCATTGATAGGGATGGTCTGGTGGCAGAGTACCCCATAAATAACACTTATGACTTTTGTTGTTTTTATTGCTTGTAATATTTATGTCAATGTTATTTCAAACTTATGAATTCTTGACCCCTAAATTTTGAAAATGACCCCCATTTTTAAAAAGTGGGGGTCAAAATGACCCTTGCACGCAAAATCTAGTGGAAACCCTGATAAACATCCGTCGTTTTTGACTATATTCCGAAACTGCCTCGTTGTCAGAAATATCACCAAAAAGTAAATTTCTTTCTCCTTTGCACTTGTGAAAAATGAGTTTGACTATATTCCAGTCCGATGCTCCTTTTTTATCAGAAATGTCACTAAAAAGTGGAGGTTTTGCCTTGGGACCTTTTTTCCGCAGCAGTCCCAGGTAGGTGTGGCTCAGCTGAGACGCGCATGGTCAGTGTCGACGGTTGAACGTCCACAACAAGTATTTAGCAAAAAGTGACCAAATTGGTCAGACATTATGTAAGAATTTGGCGGGAGTTGACCAGTGCATGTGGACGAATTTATTCCATATAACATCTATAGAGCGTGCCCTGAGTGTCAGAGCAACGNCCCGAAAGTCTTCACTCCTCCTGTGCTATGTAACAAGTTTTGCATCTAATTATATTCTTCTGGTCAAAGCACTGGTTGAGAAGAACCCCCCCAACTCAAACACCTCTTATAGAATCTACCTACGGTCCAAACAGCATTGTTAGAGAACATTCAGAATGAGAAGAGCTAAGTGCTAGCTGGCCCACAACCAGTCAAATTGAGCCGAGATTTAATTAGTGCCCCTGCAGGGATGATGCGTGGGGGCGTGCAAGAGGCGGAGAGAGACCATTACACGATTAAGCGGTCTTCCTTTCATGTAGGTCTGCCATATTCAGGCTGTGGACCAGCTAGCACTCAGCTCTTCCCATTCTGAATGGCCTCTTACTATGGATGTCTGGGACAATTACCTTCAAACAACATTCCTGACTTTTCAGCATTCACTCCCACCAAAAACAGACGTCTAGCCTAAACGAAAAATAATATTATTCTGATAACATAAAGTGTATAAATTCAACATAGTAAAGTTTAGACAATTGCTTAACATATTCTTACTGACCGGCTAAAGAAATTGAAAATGTTTCATTATTTTTTCCAACATTTACCTTGACTAATTTCAAATTTCCAATATGTCTAAAATAACATAGCCCCTATAACTAATTTAAAATGTTTGCCCGAAAGAAACTTTCCCGTACTGTAACTGACTCGATCACTGGACTTAAAACTTTATTTCATATCTTATATATTCTGATACTTGGAATATTAATATGGATAAACATTTTGCTTTTAATATCAAAATCTCAGAGACCAGCTATACGTAAGCCCTACCTTCTCAAAATCATTTACATTCACATCCTCTGTTGATTTTTTTCCTGGACCATTATCTTGACCTTGACCTGACCTGACACCCTTCTGACCCTGACCTTTTTTCAACTCTTGCTGCCACTGTGATCTGAATTTGTGCAGCTGATCTTGAATATTAGACGATTCCTCCGACTCCTCTTGTTCCTCATCCTCTGAAGAAGAATCAGACCCAGCTGTTCGTATGGCATTTTCATCCTGCAAGAAAAGGGGGAATACTGGTACACACTGGTGTTTTAAATATGGGATGTCTCATAGGAAGTGAGTTAAAGTTTATTTTGAAAGCAGCACCTGTATCCTCTTGATTCCCTTAGTTTTAGTACTAGCTGATGTCTAAATGGAGTCCATAATCAAATTTAGTTAAAATAGCTAGATAATTTATTAACACATTTATATTATACATGGAAAATCACCACTAGAACTACAAGTTTTGAATTACTATTATTATCGTCAGAAGTGTGTATAAATCAAATTGATTCCGGTTGGTAATATAATTTCTGGAACTTACAGTAACTTCAGCAACAACTGTAATGTAATGTAATGTAATGCAGGTTCTGGAATTTGATTTATACAAATTTTAGATTCTTATTCTATTGCATGGATAAAAACATCCACCCTTTTACTACCACTATTACTTAGCATGGCCTAGCAAATCTTATTACCAGTTTACTTGGCAAGAACAGGGTCAGGGGAGCATATTCCCTCAATTGAGTCGGAAAGGTTAAAATGCTACTTGACAGTCCTGTACTTATTTGTAATATTATGCTTCACTTACCATTGCATAAAATGTTCAGTTGTCCTATTCTTTCAGGCGGTTAGTTCACGGCAAGTGAAGCAAATAACGGAACTAAAAAACAATCTGGCCTTCCTGAAAGCCGCCATTTTGGAATAGAGGGAAGAATGGAGAACACGAAGGAAATGACGTGAAATGTTATCGATTGCGAGGCTAAGGCGAAGAGACAGACATCAAGTGTTGAACTTTACTGTAGTTTGGCATTTATATGTTATTCTTTTCATGTTTAACATACAAAGTGAAATTTGATAGCACAGGACTTTGAGTTATGCAAGCTGAATTCGAAAATAATCATTGGAGTGAAACATTTTCAGGGATGCAAGATCGGAATTTATAGTTCCACTGCGGTCTCCTCATACGCTGTCAAAGGAAGAAAAACGGTCGACGTTAGTTCCAAGACTCAAGTCTAAGGTCCACCGCGCACTTGCATTGCGCATGTGACGTCAGTCAATAACAAAAGCATGCTGTTGCATTGCTGTCTTCTCAGTTAAGCTTCAAGTAAGAACTTAAGTTTTGCGGTTTTCTATGTTTGATTTGAAATGACGATTTAAGTGTATATCTTGTAAGTTGAATGTCCTCTTATTTTTTTAATCTAATTTGAATAAAAGAACTATGTTTTGTCTTTAGTCAGTTTAATTTTGAACTTCATTTTTACCCGTCTCGCGAAAGCGATGTACCTGTACATGTACATATGTATTCATTAGCGTTTTTGGTACGTACTGTACAGTAGTAGTACACTGTGGTAGTACATGTGCCTCTCACAATAGTCATGGTGTTGCAAATGTCCGTCCAATTAAACATTTTGACGAATTACAAAATCACACAAATATATATATAAATGACTAGAAAAAAAATTAGATGCAGTACCCACATTTATTTTAGAAGTACTGGTATTATATTGTCATATTTTAAAAGTCACACTAAGCTAGCCCAGAATGCAAAATTAAAAAAAAAATTTATTAGATTTTTGTGATGTCCCTTGTTATTTCTCTTCTTCTTCTTATAATTATTATACCAGTAATTCAAGCTGTAATTTTTATATCTACAGTAAATCATTCCTATTGAAAAAAACAAAAAAAAAAAAAAAAATGAATGTCTTTATTGTTGTATTCTTACCAAAGCATAACTTCCATTTGGATATACCATAGTGTACCCATCAATTAAATGTTGTGGACGACATTAATTTCGCTAGTTAAGAAAAAATTAAAGACAATTATTATGACGTTTTAAAAATATAAATTCAAGAAATTTGCCAAGAAACTGCATAGGACTACATTGTGGCGGCATCTGCATCAGGAAGGTATTCAACTCATTTGTTACACAATCTGCATGGTGTAAGCACTCAGCATAGTTGGACCCCTTTGCAAATTTTGGACAAACGGTACCCTCTACCAGTGCGGCAGATTATATAGGGGAAAATGGAAAATCCACTCTGTGACTTTTGGCTAGTTGATAGTGAAGATATATATATATATATATATATATATATATATATATATATATATATATTCGAAAGTGTATGTTTCACTTTGCAGAATTATTGACCCCAAACCACATCATACAAGGATTTACTGTTTAGCTGTAGGATTATGTACAAAAGGATAAAACAATTCTTTTTCATGTGTACATTACAGAATGCGTTACTCTTATTTCACCTATATACATTTCAGGTTTCAGGCTCTGCATGTACAAGGTACTGGTACAGTACTTTTGGGTTCACAAAACTGCTGCAATAGTTGTGAAATATCATTCCTCTTCATTTGTTGCAGGCCTACATTTTAGTCTTCAGTTAATTATTAGCTTCATTCACAAGCTAAGATTCACTGCATGGAAAAATGTTCCATTGTATTGCGTCATTAGCGATGACCTATTTATATACGACCTTCACATGCGCAATGCAAGTGCGTGGTGGACCTTAGACTTGAGTCTTGGAACTAACGTCGACCAAGAAAAACCCACCGATGGCTGCAGTTAGTTGGACATTTACGAGTACAAATGGTAGGTTGATTGGTGTTTGTTAACTCTGAACTTGAGCAAGATTTAAGATGCAGAGATATGGGGTAAGTGTAATACTTCAGTTGATGATAGTTGGTTGAGTGATAGCCGTATTTCTTCGTGTTCAGCTGGACAACTTTGACAAAACTTGGGTCCAAGTTTTCAAGATCATTTCCACAGTCAGGATTACTGCCAAGTCAGAGGTTGTAACACAAAACAGAAACATGGTTTGCGATCTAATTTCGTTTTTCCCTTTTCGACAATACGCTGGAAAAGCCTAATGAGCGTAATGGTTTAAGTCATGATTTTACCAGTTATCATCTGTTGCATATGCTGCATTTTTTTTCTAATCTGAAGTCAGTGAAGATAAATTACTAGTCAAGACATTCAGACCTTCACTCCTCACTACAGTGTGCCTCTAGTTTATTTGTACCTAACCCCCATTTATATATCATAGGGAAGAAATAATATAGGAGGAATAGGGTCATGATTAATGGAGATATATGATGTGCTTTGTGATCCAGTGATTCAGTCAGTCTGTTGGCGATCTACTTGTTCATGTTTGTGACTAGATATGAAATGTTGAGGAAAAATGATTAATTGTGTTTAAGACCAAAGCTTTCTGACTACCTCAACACAAAACAAATCAGTAATAATCTCTTACATGTTGATGTTGGGCCTGTTTCACAGATAGGATGAAAGGAAAAAAAAATGGCTAAAATTTTAAGTAAAATAATAATGAATTGCCAGATTTATTATTATTTTACTTAAAATTTTAGCCATTTTTTTATTTGATTTAAATAGTGTGCTGTAAATGATTTATATCCAGCTTACCTATAATATCACTTTGGTTGCTTAGTAATGGCTATTTATAACATGAAATGAAGTTTTGAATATAAATACATGTTAGTATCACACACAGCTTTATTAAATCCAGATTCAGGATGCAGTGTGGGCATGTTAGATTTATTTTCAGTTCATTAAGTTGAAATTATGAATGGGCACTGCAGTTGTTATCTGTGTGGACAGTGACCTGAAAGTGAAAATATTGATACCTGGGATGTATATTTGGAATTCAAAACCAAATGATAGTAGTATTCCGCTTATCACATGGTATGTAGCATCACAATCGGGATTAGATAATTTCTAATGGAACTGCAGATATAAGCAAATATTTGAGAGTAGATTTGATGAAGGGAAAATGCACACACGTTTTTTTTTTTTTGGGGGGGGGGGTAGGGTGAGGTGGTGTGGGGTGGGACCAGTGTTTAATGTGATGCATGTCACCATAATCTGAAATGATGGAAAGTGAAGTAGTGCTGTATCTACTTTAGAATGCACAGTGTTTCCAATTTTAGTGCAGCCTGGACCCCATTTTAGACCCCCCCCAACAAAAATCACCTCTAGTTTGTTTTGTGAAATGGGGGCCTGATCTGATTCCTTCATTGTCAATTCAAACCTAGAATATTAAATCCAAGATGCAGCTTTGGCCATGCACCAAATTGCCCAGTTCTTCGTTGCTTTTAACTTTGATTTAAAACTAAGATTTCAGTAGAATTTCACTTTGTTTAGCCAGAGGAAATTGTATTCTGTAGTGAACCTTGCAACTGTGTACTAGTAAGCAGTTTTTTATTTCATTTTTAGTGCAGTGTTCAGAGTCACATGTAGAGCTGATGACTCAGTGCAGCCTTGTGTTGTTACTTCCCAGACATATCGTGTTACATACACACACATAGCCTGTACTTGTGGCAGCTGAGCCTGTCAGAATGAAAGCATATTCATTTGAGCAAGTGGACTGTGTTTGGTTATTTTTTTTTTTTTTTTTTTTTTGGGGGGGGGGGGGAGAATAATGTTTAGAAAAGCATGGTAAAAGTCATTCTTGTTATTATAAATTATTAAAATTAGAACTATGACTGTTATTGTGAATATAATCATTAGTATTATTGTTGATAATAATAATAATGCTAAATAATGATAATGATAATATATATTGAATTTGAACACTTAATTGTGCACAAATTTTATTTAATTGTACTTTTGTTTATTAATTTATCAAGTTATTTCATGTATAAAATTATTGATTTTTGTTGTTGGATATTAATGTTGATGATTGTTTAGAAAAAAAAAACTATGAACAGAAACCTGATGTGAATTCAGTCATCAAGTACTGCTACTGACCTTAGGGTGCAGCTCATCTTTCTGCTTCCTCATGATCAGTGAAATGCAGCAGAAACAGATGTGGCCTTGGGAATCCTATCTTTTAAGCTGCCTTACCACGCATATTAGTAAACTTATAATCAATAGGATAATCTTGGATTAAAAGTAGATTATAAGCGAAATCAGATAAGATCACTAAATTAAGATCCATTTGACCTGACCTTGACCAGAGAGAGAGAGAGAGAGAGAGAGAGAGAGAGAGAGAGAGAGAGAGAGATTGCAGGTTTTTCCCCTCAAGACGGTCAATCTATAAAGAAAGAAAATAAATGTAGGAGCCATATTGTTTAAAACATTCTAATTTGAATATTAGATTGTGAAAATCCAGAGAAAATAAACTTGGTCCCTCCCTTAGAGCCTGTGTGAGGAGAAAAATATAGCCCATCATACATAATAACCATATTTAATATGCTAATTAATATTAGAGGGCATACTACTATGTATGTGAAGAGAGCATATGTGAATACTGGAGTAAGCAGTGTCACTTAATTGCATAGACTTCACTCTTAGGGTTTCGTTCAGAATGAATTAGCTCAAAATAGCTACTGTGCACTTACTCTATGGGGACTCTTGCTGAATGCTGCCTGATTAACAGACTAACCCACCTCCCCCTGATGTTGAGTGAAATACAAGAAAGCTGGTGATTGTGAAGTTGGTAACAAGAGGAGGTGTGTTAGTCTGTTAATCTGATTGTATTTAACAAGAGTCCCCTTGGAGTTAGTGTGCAGTAGCTATTGCGTCCTGACTCATTCTGAGTGACCCCTTAAATTACAACTGACCTACGAGTGTAACCAGTAATATAATTATTTAACAAGACTCAGTATGTGTCTTCATTTCTATACTAGTAATTATAAGTCAAAGGTGGTGATGGCTTGAGATTGGGCAGGTTCAGTAGAGATGTGCAATGTATGTTTTAACTGTGTTTTGCACTCATTTTTCTGTGTTATAAAATTTTTAATTTGATTTTAATTTGAAATATATGCTTAGGATGCATTCCAAGATTTAGATCAATCCAGAGATTTAGATTTAGATCGACCTAACTCCCTGGGGGTTCACGCTAAATTGCAGTCAGCCTAAGCTAGCGCAAACCATAGTTAATTACCCCCTTACAGCTTTTAGTAGGCGGGAAAGATGCTTAAGCTGACTAAGCTGACAGTAATCTAGTGAGACTCCCCACAGGGATAGATCGATCTAAAATCTATGGGAATGGGGTCTTAGAGAGCCCTGTCTGTGATAATGAAATGAGTTGTTGACTTACAGTTGACTCTGCCATGAAGTATTGGCTGAATTCCAACTCAAAGTAAAATTATCAAGTGATTATCCACATAAACAATTTTGTCAAATATATTGATTAAAAAAAGTAAAATATTTCACAATTTCTTCAGTCAAACTAGCATTATATATTAGGATTATGGATACTTGGGAGTTGCCTGTGGCAGAGCTGGAACCTTCTCAGAAGGCCAGCTTATTTTTTTGCCATACAGTTAGCATTAAATCAAGACAAACTGTGTCATTAATTGATAAGACAACTAGTACTTGTGAGGATGTACTAGTACATTGCTTTCCCTATACTTTGTGAAGAGGGAAGCTACTTTAAAAAAAAAAGTTACTAAATTGTTTTTTCTCCTATCTGTTTATGTCGCGTCATAATTTGAGCTGCATTTATATATATAGAGAGAGAGAGAGAACAATGAAAACCAACTACTCATCCTCCCCTCCTCACCCACTTCCACCCACTCTGTCAAACAGAATGAAAAGATAATCAATAAAGCTGGCTATAAATAAAGTTTTTCTATTGATCTGCTGGGTAACATTCTGCCATTCTGAGGCCCATTTTTAGGAATCACCTGTTACAAATGAGCGTGCAACAAAATGTGGTTCACAGAGGTAAAACATTGATTTAGTTTCATTTTATTTTTGACTGGAAAATGTAGCCTTACTTTTAGATCATTTACTTTACTAGTATGTACATATTTCATTTTTGAACTTAAACACATGGACTTTATAGATCTATTGAGTTTGATGTGTAGTTTATGAAGTCTGACAGGTAGTAGAGGTAACTGTTTGGATTAGCTATTACAAATTGCATTTGATATGCAAATGATATTTAAGCAGTATTGCATTCATAAGAATCAGAGTAGAAAGGAGTTTGCAACAAGCTGGAAACTGGAAAGAAACATGGCTTTTGTGATTCCTTAGAACATTCTGAAGCCATATTGCACAGGAAACTGTGGTTAGTTAATGGCTTTCTCTATTGTGTATACTGTATGGGAGTTCTCAAAAGGAATATGAGTTTTAAAGTCAGAGAATTCTCACTTGAGTACGGTTCACCCAAGTTCACTGGAAACACGCCACCCTTAAACATTGCAGCCATATTCCACAGTAAACTGTGGTCAGTTCAGGATACCAAGTTAATGGTTCTCCCCAATGTATAGCATTCCACAAATACCACAACCTGATGGAACAGGAGCTGTACCCTCTGATAGGTAACAAAGACATTGAGTGTTAGGTAATAGTTTACTTTCAAGTATGAAGAGGAGAGGTTTTTATATCAGAGTGACTCATCTTCATCAGGTACTAGTGCATCAACTGAGGAAGTATTTTTAAAGATACTAGCATAACCTATCAAATTTTGGGCCAGGATATATTTAAAGGATCTGTATTGTACATGTAGCTACTACAGGAGACTATAGCTAGTATTATCTGCAGGGGAAAGGACCTCACAGACCATGATAAACTACATAACTACTCCAGTATTAATATTTATCTGCAGTTAGGGATTTTAAAACAAAGATAATTGCAAAATCAGTGTATACATTGGAGGAAGATAGGGGTACTAGTACTAGTACATGCGGTAGTGTCAAAAAGTGTGACATGGAAATTCAGTTGGTATGTCAGGGGTTATCTCAAAATACTGACTGTTAAAGTTGCATGCCACATATCTTGGTATTGTTTATATGAATAATTATATGATCTTTGCTTCATAATTAATATTGAGTTTTGTATACTAGTGTCAGCTCTCTCTCTTTCTCTTTCTCTGAAATGAGATTATGACCCTTCTTTCTTGCTGTAAATCATACAATATATTTCATTTAACTGAAATTACTGTAACTGCTGTATTTCTAGGATTTCTTAACAACGTCATGTTTGCATGTAGGATGAGTTAATATGTTTCCTAGAAAAGATAATAACTCCAGGATTCTGAGGAATGACGCAAAGGAATGCATGCTATGGTATGCCTGCACTGTGACGCAAGCAACTACAGTATGTTCTTCTGAATGCTCAGTGTTTGAATACTTCTTCAGGAAATATCAGGCAGTTGTAGTATCACCTTGGTCATTGTTTATAGCAGTGAGATGTTGATCACTTTGAGAGCATTGAACAATGAGAAAGTCTGCTACAAGGTACAGGCCAGATTAGCTTTGGTTGCTTTATTGAGGGAAGCAACTTTGGACAAGGCACATTGCAGGCCTACCCAACTACCAGACTCGGCACCGAATGATCCTGAATTCACTGGTAGATCAGACCACACTACCCATTTTCAAGGTCTGATCTACTGGTGAATTCCGGATCATTCGGTGCCGAGTCTGGTCATTGGGTAGGCCTGCATTGGATTGTTACACAAATAGTGACTATTTGGTTCAATGTTGCACACGTCTGATGTTTGCATATAACTGTTATGTATCACTTTTTAGTTACTGTTGATTGCTCTCCTCATGAAAGGGTCCCAAAGTATAAAACATGGGGAAAAAAATGGAACAAGTGAAAATCATGCAAATGTTTCACAAGTTGTGTGTGAATTTCATTGACAGGACCAAGTATTATTTTATTTATTTATTTATTTATTGTTGGGGGAGGGGAGCAATGACCCATGAGAGAGTTAGACATGTAAAGTTGTAAACTGTGAAAAAAGAGAATTTATTTTCATCACTGTGAAGGTAATCAGAAATATCATTTCTATTTCAGAAGACGAATGTCAAAGATTAAAGTGATGCCTGATACAGTAACTGCATTACCAGTGTGCCATATCAATATCAGTAACAACAACAACAGCGGTATTAGCTGTAATTACAATGTCAGACAATGAAGACGATGTCATCATAGACAACCATGCCACAGTTCATCTAACTTGCCGAAAGTGTGGTGCCCACGATTGTATTAACTCAAACACACCACTAGGTGGCACCATGATCAGAACCACCTGTCTGGAGGTCAAGTCTCAAGAGGTTCAAGGCCATGTCATGACCTCAGAGGTCAAAGGTGAAAAGGTCAATGGATATGATGTACAGTGCAATACGACTATTAAACCTTGCTCAAAGATGATCTCGGACAATCCGGTTAATCTGGCTCTCGCAAAAGAGCAGCCTAAAGATAGTACCACTCATGGTAACGGCATTGCCACCCCTCCTGTTAGTTATCCAGAAAATGCAGATTTACATATAAGCAAGGATCAAAACCTGGAAAGAAGTAGTGACAATGTCATTGGCGTAGCCACGCCCAGGCAGATGTGCACAGAATGTGAGCCTCAGGTGCACTGTGCTTGTAACTTGAAATCCCCTCCCCCAGTCACTAGGAGGGTGAGCTTCAGTCTTGACGACGATGTGCAGCGGCCGAGGAAACGGGAGTCAAACGATTCAGCGGGACCACAAGATGAGGGACACTTAAACAGTGCAGCCCTGACCAATCACAAGCCTTCTCAGACTTCTCCAAGCAAAGACCACTTAAAATTGAATTTAGAAACATTGGAATTAAACCCCAAGGACGAGAACGCCTTGGTGCAAAATGATAAAAGTCATGGGAGCAAGCAAGATACCCTTCACCATCACCATCATCACCACCATCATCCCCATCACCAACACCAGAGGTCACCACAGTCACATGGCCAAAAGACAAAACTAAAAAAGGCGCAGGGCAAGCAGTCCTGGCTACTGAGGCTCTTTGAGTCCAAACTGTTTGACATGTCGATTGCCATCACATACTTGTTCAACTCGAAAGAGCCAGGGGTACAGTCTTATATAGGTATGTTTTTGCCCAATTTTTGCTTGCTTTTACTATATTATTATTATCATTATTATTAATGTTTGTAAGAGGCAAGTTGTTTAAAATTATGTGTCAAATTAATTTGATATTTTTCCCTCTCAGGCAACCGTATGTTCAGCTTTCCCCCAGAGAATGTTGACCTATATCTGCCACAGCTACTTAACATGTACATCCACATGAGGGATGTGGCGGAGGCTATTCATCCTTATATCATACACAGGTAGATAGGAGGACATTAATTCTTGCTAAAGAATTTTCTTCTTACTTTGTGGAGCTAAAAAATCCTTGTTTAATGATTTTTATTTTGAAAGAAGTAAAAGGGTGGGGGGGGGGAATTAAAAATTCACAGAATTTGAATTTCATCTTAGTTCAGAATTCATCCTAGTTAGGAAAATTTTACATTGTAATTTAAAGTTGACTCTAAAAGCATGTACCCCTAGAACGATCTGCACTAGGAAGTCTAATGGTGTCAGATTTATAGTTTTTCTGATTCTGGTAAATGAACCTGTTGTCTACATTTCTTCAGTGCATGCTGTGTTCTAAAATTAGTATTATTCATTTGCATCTGTGTTGAGTTACTTGATGTACGTGCCTCTTCCAAGGGGATTATGCTTTTGCCTTTTTTTTTTGTTGACATATTATACATTTAATTGCCTAACCCAAAAAGTTATGGATAGGTTTGGTGAAATAAGCACCATGGAACAAAAATGGCTAGCTTTTGAATAAATTTATAAGATTTATCATGTGTTCCATAAATTAGTTAATTGATAATAATGAAAATTGAGATGTATGCACTCTCTCTGAGTACTTTTTTAGATTACTGTGTATTGGAATCTGTGACAACGTCGCTGTTATTGATTTGTTGACAGGTGCAGAGAGAGTGTTGATTTCTCACTGAAGGCAGCGTGGTTATTAACAGCCTACTGTGCTGATGTCATTGGGAAACCATCATGGCGGAACTCTCAGGGCGTGAAGCTGAAAAACATGATTATGAATGAGGAAATTAGGTTGGTCCCTCTCTCTCTCTCTCTCTCTGTCGCGCGCGTGCGCGCGCACACATATTGCTTTTGGTGTGATTGACTGCTAAAACTGTTCACTTAGTCAATCTCACTAACTCCTATACATTGTATTGAGTCAATTTAGGTTATTAACACAACTACAAGTCAGAATAACATGCTTTCCATATTATTGCAGGTTTAATTAATGATTCTCTCTCTCTCTCTCTCTCTCTCTCTCTCTCTCTCTCTCTCTCTCTCTCTCATATTCTAAACAAGATTTTTAAATAAAGCAATTTTTTTTTCTTTTTAATAAAATGTTCATCTTTCATTCCAGGCCTCGCCACCCTAAGGCTCAGTCTGACCTCCCTAGTCCCTCCCACAGCCACACCCACCCCCTGTATCCCCTACATCACCACCATCACCACCAGGCTGGCTCCCCGGGGACACCGTCTAAGAAAACACATAAGAGAGCCGTGTCTGATGTCACTGGTAAGAATGGTGAACTTATCTGAAATTTTTCCCCACTGTCACTTTTTTTGTCTTGACCATTAAGTTAGATTATTACTGCTGATTGCACCACTGATTTGTGTTGATTTGTTTGTTTATAACTTCTCCACAAGGGTGTCGTATGTTGGGAGCTCTCTACTGTTTTAAGTGTGTTAATTATGATTTGGTGTATATATTTTGCTATTTCTCCCCCAGGATGTAGTCTGCAGCCCACACCCCTGAAGAGGAGCAGCAGTCTGACCAGCATGCGCAGTATGTTGGGAGATCTCTCGTCAGGTCGCGCTTTCGACAGCGGCTGCAAGTGCCACGAGAGTTCCGAGGGTGTGTTTAATGACCTCATTGGGAAGATGACAGAGTGCCATTGTGATGTAAGTTCTTGGCTGTTAGTTTATGATATGATTTGTGATTAGTTGGTCTGCACTATTATTATTATTATTATTTTTTTTTTTTTTTTACTTTTGAATCAGACTAGTTAGAGTAAAGCTATGATGTGCCTGCTCAGTTCTAATGGCACTCAAACTGTTAACTTCAGATACTCTTAATATTGATTAAGAAACAGAATTTTTCTCAAACTTTTTGAATTGATTCAGAATCATAAATTGTTTAACTGAGTAGAATGTTATTATTATTATTACTTTTGTTACTATATTTTGTTAATGTTTAGGCCCCACGTCTGCTCCCAGAACTGGAGTTTGTCAAAGCCTTTATCAATATTGGGAAGAAATTACAGACACTACAGACAAAAGAGATGAGGAGTAAGTATCTGGGCTATAGTTTGTGACCTTAGCCATTGATCTGTGACCTTAGCAACCAGTCAGAGACAATTGAAAACTTAATTTTAAAAAGTTACTAGACAGTAAAGAATGAAAGTTGGAAATGTGTTTTGAATTTTCTCACTATTTATAGATTTCAACTTTTTAGTACAAATTTTAGTTACTAGTAGGGGTGGACGGAAGCAGTCTTTTGGGCCTTCTGGAAGATGATCAGAATGTTCCACTTTTTAAAGAGAATTTGGAAGACTCAGAAAATATCTCTGGAACTGCCCCTGACTAGTATATATGATAGTGGTTATTCGCAGAAGGAAAATCTCTGACATAAATAATTAACTTCTTCTCTTTTTCCTTCCCCACAGCTGCTCGCCTCATAGCAGACTTGGCCTCGATGAACTTGAACCTGCCCGCGAGGATCTGGCTGCCCATCCACTCCAATACCAACCACCATGTTGTCAGGATCCCACAGACATTTGCTGTGGTCCTCAACTCTAAGGAGAAGGTAAGTAGTGGTTGGGGTGTGGTTGTTACAGTGGTGAACTCAATGTTGAGGTTGATCATACTTACATCTCATCTGGTGAATGTAAAAACAATTCATGTATACATGGATGTAAGCTGTTTTCTCTCTTATGGATATAATACAATGCAGTGCAGTGCTGTGCTGTGCTTTGCAGTACAGTACAAAAAAATACAATACAATACAAAACAATAGAGTTCTCTCTCTATTCCCTTTAGGCCCCATACCTAGTGTATGTAGAAGTCCTGGAGTGTGAGAACTCCCACACAGCCCCAGTGCCCTCTAAGATCCTAGAGAACACCCTGAGGTTTACCAAGTCTGAGGAGGATCTCACCCTGCACTACGCCAACTGTTCCCCCAGGTCTGACTTTAACCTGTACGGAATGTCCAATGATTTTGATGACGCAGACTGCTGGTCGCAGGAAGATGATGATATTTTACAGGTAAGGTGAAGGTCATCTGGAGCTAGAATGGTATGGAGTGTCCATGCAGTCACACACTTTTTAGGGAAGTTATTTGTCCACTGAACAGAGAAGAAAAAAATCCTTCATAATTTGTTGCTTCATGTTTGTCTCACATTGATAAGTTTGACATGTTTTTAAGTTAACTATTAGATTCCCAACATGCTGGTTTCAAGTATATATATGAAAAAATTAAAAGTAAGAAGCAATCTCAAGGCAAGAACAAATTCAGTACCTATTACAACTCCAAATCATAATCACCTTAATATTATTTTCATTTACTTTACACAGTTATGAGTGGGCTTTTAGGACTTTACCCATTTTGTCTTTCCCTCACCTTTTTCCCCCCAGCTCTGCACAAAATAAGGGGATGTATGGGAAGGTGTTTTGTAGCAATTTTTGCCACTTTTCTTTCCAGTTTGCAGCAAGGTCTAGGTCCAGCGACACGCTGTCTCAATTCTCCATGGAGAGCAGCAATAGCGTGGACAGCAAGGAACCTGTTTATATTGCAGCTGGTGACATTCGCAGGAGGCTTACAGAGAACATTGCTGCCCCAAAGACTAAATTTGAGGTAGTACAGAGCTGCTCACACAAAATCTTAAAAAAGACATTCAAAATTGAAAGTTAACGTGTGTGTGGAGTAAGGCATGGAATTAGGCTTGTCTTGAAATGTGACCCTCTATTGACCATCCACATATAAGCACCCAAGGGATTCATGTTAACACTAACATTGGATGTCTCTCATGCCCCTGGGTTTGGACTCTGCTTTACTTGAAATATGTGCCTTTTCCGAGTTCTTTCCTCTAAATCAGTATTTAATCCAGATAGTAACATCCATACCATTTCCCTGTTGTTCTTTTATGTTGTTGACCACATGGAATGATTTTCACAAAAAAAAACCTGAAAAAATTTTTTAAAAAATGGAACGAATGGATGGTATTAGAAACTTTTATAGTAGATGTCTAAGATAACTTGGTTTTCGTCATCTGCTGTCCATCTTTTTACTAAAAATATGAAGATGTCTGAGCAGGACTGTAAAGTGGTGGGATACATGATTGTGGTGGCTGTTACCAACACAAGTGATTCAGAAGGGAAAAAAAGAAAAAAAGAACATTTTAGTATTCTCCAATTGGAACCTTGCCTCCAAAAGAAACTTTTGTAACTAATTTTGTTAAAAAGCTCCAGTTGCATTTAGGTGTTGTAAAATATTTAGATTCTTATAAAAATATGCAAACATTCTGAATCACAAGGAACAAGGTGAAACTGTAAACTCTTGATAAAAGTTCTCAAAGCTTTTTACTTTTCCATCTTTTATCCATAGTTTACAAAGTTTCACCTTGTTATCTATAAACCTACCTGGGCAGGTGAAAATAAAATTCTGAATCATCATGTTTGTGGTGGCGGATGAGGTGGCTTTGGTGTATTGGTCTCTGTCAGATTAAATGATCACTCACTGGAGAAAATGTCACTCGTATGTGTTTATTTAAGATGAATTATTAATTGTTCAACTCTCTGACTTTCCAGAGGGACCCTGAAGACCCGTCTGCGGCCGCCCTTAAGGAGCCATGGCACGAAAAGGAGAGAAGGATTAAGGAGTCGTCCCCTTATGGTCACCTCCCGAACTGGAGGCTGCTGTCAGCCATTATCAAGTGTGGAGATGACCTGAGGCAGGAGTTGCTGGCATTCCAAGTTCTGACACAGTTACAGGTTTGTATACACAGACATCAGTTATATCTGTGTGTGTGTGTGTGTGTGTGTGTGTGTGTGTGTGTGTGTACATGAGAGAGAGAGAGAGAGAGAGAGAGAGAGAGAGAGAGAGCGCCTGTTTATATATACTTAGGGTATTTTAAGTTCTGACACAGTTACTAGCATCTGATATGCCAGCACGCACGAGTGTGTGTGTGTATGTGTTTGCATACATATGTGTGGTTTCATTTTTAACTGTAATGTGTAATATATCCATGTGTGTGTTGTCTGGACACTAATATTAACTGTTCCATATGTTTATGCACATGTGTGTGTGTCCAAGTAGATTGAACATGAACATATTTAGAGGAATAATATAAATACTATGATATTTGTTTTGTTTGGCCTTTTAAACTCATATAATGTTTAGCATTTGCCTTCTAGAACATCTGGACGCAGGAGCGAATTCCTCTGTGGGTGAAACCCTACAACATCCTGGTGCTTTCCAACGACTCTGGCATGATAGAGCCTATCGTCAACGCAGTCTCGCTACACCAGATTAAGAAACAGAGTAAAATGTCTCTGATGGAATACTTTGTGCATGAATATGGACCTCCTAATAGTGAAGAGTTTCTGGAGGCCCAGAGGAATTTTGTCTCAAGCTGTGCTGGTTATGCCCTTGTTTGTTACCTGATGCAGGTGAAGGACAGGTAAGTAGTGCATAAGTTACGAAGTTACAAGGCCAGTAGACTCCATATCATGCCAAGAGCTAGCAAGGGATGCTGTCATGTATTCCAGATGAGGGTGTAGCAATGCATTATTGGCCGTACATCAAAGCAAAATCTCCCGTTTCCCAACTGAAATACCTACTTTTTACTACAAAATGCTGATATCATCACAAATTAATGGATACAAAAAATGGAACTTTCACGTTTATGTAATCATCATCTTTCTTTCTCATTTCTACTTCAGGCACAATGGCAACATCCTCCTGGATGCAGAGGGACACATCATCCACATAGACTTTGGTTTTATCCTCTCCAGCTCTCCCGGGAAGAACCTAGGCTTTGAGAACTCCCCTTTCAAGCTCACTTATGAATTTGTGGAGGTACTTTGTGAATCTTTGATCATTTTGTGATAATATAGTTTAGTCCTACTTGAAGAATATGTTTACAATAAAAGTTCTAATTAAGGTGATATTTTTTGTCAGATAGTGGTACATTTATAATTTTTTAATCCTCTACCATGATGGCAGATAATATAATATCAAAACAAAAAGTTACAGAAAGCATGTATGAAAGGTATTGATCAGCAGCAAATATTTGTGGTCTACATTATTGCTTAAGATTGTTCTAAGTAGTTATTAGTCAAGAGCAAAAAGTAATGGGTTGCAAATTGTGGATTGTGTTTCTTCCAGTTATTGTGATCAGCAGCAAACATTTAAGGATAACATGATTGGTAAAATATTTCTAGGTCATGGGTGGTTATGGCAGTGACATGTTTGAGTATTTCAAGATTCTGATGCTGCAAGGTTTTGTGGTGACAAGAAAACATCTGGAGAAAATATTAAACATGGTGGAGATAATGCAGACAGGTATAAAACTGTGAAACGAAGAATCATTTTTAAGTTTTATCTGTTTTTGTGTGTGCATATTGAATATTGAATTATATTAATACCCTTCATTAAACCATTATTTCTTATGGACCTAAGTTAAGAGTATAAGTCTTATCAAATAAAAATGTTTGTTCATCTTTTCATTTCTGATCTCTTTTTTTATGTACATTTTTTGCACAAATATCATTGTTTGCATGTTTTTAACTGTTCTGTCATATTTATAGAAACATTTTCAATATCGGTTTATTAATGTTCTCAATTCCAGGTTCTCAGCTTCCGTGTTTTGGCAAGGGTATCAGCACAATCCGTGCTCTGAAGGAACGTTTTCACCTCAACCTGACGGAGGAGCAACTGCAGCTCCTGGTGGACAACATGGTGGAATCCAGTCTCCACTCCCTGACCACTAAACTCTACGACGGGTTCCAGTATATCACCAATGGAATTCTATAAAATTAAAGAAAAAAAAATGAACAAAAAAAAAAAAAGAAAGTCTGTGTCTGCCAACTTATCCTATGTAAACTTATCCCTTGTGTAAATTTGAGGAATGGAAAAAGAAGTCTGACTCAAAGGGAGGTTGTATTTCATCAGTGATATAAAATGGTTCATGTTATTGAGAATTCATAGATGAGGTCAAGATTCTTAGGCTATTTTAAAAGCTCTAAATGAGGGTATAATTTGATTATAATAGATGCATCTCAGTAGTTCTAAGGCTCAGTTGTACGAGGCTCTAAATGGGCTTTTTTTTCTGCACAGATTTTCACCTTCAAACATAATAGGATTCAAAATCTGGATTCAAAATATATTTTTGAGATTTAAAAAAGATACAAAAGAAAAGCGAGAAAAAAATGTCCTAGTTCAGCCTTTATGTGCCATTGATTGACAGACTTCTAGGAAAAGGATAGATTGCAAGAGTGGCTGCACTTATTGGCAGTTAAGCTTTTTTTTTGTGATTGGCTCCAGAAAAGAAAATAAGCCCAGAATTTGGTTTAAAATTTAAGACAAAAACTTATGCAATACTTTGAGTTCAAGATATCTTCACTGCACTTAAGTTATCATAGCCAAATCTTTCTTGTCATAAAACGGACATAATATTTGGTTAATTTGGACTTTTATTGGTTTGGCTAGGGTCACAAATTTTCGTCAAGAAGGTTAGACGAATTATTGGGCTAAATATTTATGTGAAACTAACCCCTTTTCAAAATTGAGGCATGTTCACAGTAAGACTTACTTGGGCTAAAATTTGGTTTGCCAATTAAAAAGTATTCTAGCCTAAAGACCCAAAAAGAAAAAAAAAAATAAGCATCCTAGATCTAAAACAAAAGTGTAGCACCCCTCTTAGATAACAGAGTTTGTACTATTTTACAAAAGAGGTAAAAGTTCCAAAGACTGAGTAATGTTTCGATTTAAAATTGACAGCTATACAATTTGGTGAAAGGTAGAATAAACCTTTAGTATTAGACAGGATGGTTGTCTGTCTATTTCTGGTTTAAGTAAGTCCCTGTGTGAATGCGGCTGTAGGAAAGGTACTTAGGGCACACTGTATGTGTAGCAGTGGTGAGGTTTGTGAATTAAAATTTGATAAAACAAAAAATGCTATTTTAATGAGGTCATATTTTTGTACATTGAATGAAAACAGGACATGCAATGTCTACTTATTTTCAGCATTAAAGATACAGTACTGTAGGTAGACTTCTGGGTCAGAAAAAGAAAAAAGAATATAATGCTATAATTAGAGATTTTCTAGAGAGTTATGTTTGGTGACCAGTTGTTAATTCTCTTGCATCGATATGAAGAGGACTCGACCATTTCAGCATACCGGTCTAGAGCTAATACAGTGTAGGCATGCCTAGTTTGACTGTGATCTCTGCACCGTTATTTAGATGAGTGCAGAGTTTATGGCTGCTTGAACAGTTTACCCTGTTATGTCGTGTTGCAGAACGTGGTCCATGCTTAATTTAGATTTAGAAAGAGGATAAGGTATAGAGGTAACTTCAAAGTTCAGCATTCAACCTTTGGTTCAGCCAGTTCAGTAGACTTTTGGTTAGTTGAAGCAGGCGGAAATAGGTAGCACTTAGTCAATTAAATCTTTAGTATATAGGGTATTATCTGGTGTTATTATTGGCACAACAATGCAAAATTGATGAGAAGAAGACGGTAGACGCATTACGGATGCGGGAAATTTCTCATCAGTAAATTAATTATGTAAAATTATGAACATTGAATATGCATTTAAAATTATGGGGTATGTTCTGATATTTTTTCCAGTATTATGGGATCCCGTAAGTAGAAGAAAGTTACAAAACATGAAAGATGTACTAAACAAGTATATTGTATTTGAATATTTGTATATCTGCTCCTGAAATTGATAAAGAGCCGGTGACGCCAAATGAAAATAGCGTAACATTTAAGCAGACGTATTTGTCCAATCAGAATACTTATAAATATTTTATTGGCCATATTTTAATTGGCAGTTAGTAATCATATTTTACTGCCAGGAGCGCTGTCAAGCGTAAGTGCCAGGATATAAAATTAATGGGATATTAATCGGATAAGATTTGAACTTAGAAAAAAGGGCATTTGGTAATGAACTTGATTTGTCGATAGCTGACAGTGCGTCTTTTATTCATGGACATATGGCAGCACGCGGAAATACGTTTTCCTAGCGAAGTACTACATCGAACATGGTGTGCGTTTTCATTGTACATAAGCAATTATTATTTGACCGTAAGAGGAATGGAGCAACTATTTAAAACTTCCCGGAGAAGTTATGAGCGGTGTGATTTTATCTGCGTTATAATGGGATTTGCCAGACGTTACTGATATGAGGATAACGGCGCAGATGTGTTCAGGTTGCACTTGGAGCGTGCGTCTGTACTGTATATTTAAGGTGATTGTGTTTGTTTTTGGTGCTAAATGTTGATAGCATGTAGTGATGAAATAAATGGATCAAACATTTGAATAATCAAATCGGCGGTCGAGTTATTATTATTATTATTATTATTATTATTATTATTATTATTATTATCTTGCATAAATATACAATCTATTTTACCGGAAACGTGCGATAATAAATTGTTCCTAAATCGAACTACGGGGGACAGTGCATCCGAACCTTTAATAGTTCATGCAGATACAATGTAAGGAAAAAAAAAACAGTGTAAACCTGTGTCAGTTATGTAAAAAGGATTTATTTTGCTTAAGTATCAATTTGAACGCGATGTAACTCGTACATGGCGGCATAAATCAAGATCTTTAGGAGACGTGTTAATGTAGATCTTCAATGCAATGTATCGTGCTCCATGTAAGTATTGTCACCTGCTACTTTCATTTGAAGGATTAAAGGCTACCGTCAAGACTGAGACATGTTCCTTATTGGGCTAGCGCTATCGAAATCAGAGTACTACATCGTCACTGATATGACATAAAGCTAACTGACAAGAAGCGGTGCTTAAAAACATCGCGTAGAGCAATCCACGGCTTCAAAGTAAAGTTTCACGCTATTTAAAAACTACAGCTGCTTACACGTACCAAAAGATGCACATGTGAATATATTATACGTTCTATTAAATCTTACCAGAAGTCAACATTTTGTGCACTGGATGATGCAAAGTCCTTTAAAAAGAATACGATTGAGGGCGATTAGTCATGTACACCTGACATTGTGTATTCACTTTACTCAGCGGGCACTTCAAACAGCGACTGCGCCTCGTAGCCTCTGTGCGTCATTTTAGCGTACGCAGCGTCGTAATCCCGTAGGAAGGCAGCATTATCGGCAATGTACTCGTCTACAATGTCGGCGGTGGACATGTACGTTGTCCTGGGACAGTCGGTGTTGAGGGTCTTACACGAAGTCTCCTCGCCGTTCTCGTCAGGCTTGATATCGCGATACAGGCACATGTCGGAGTTCAGCATGAAATTGAGCCGACCACGCCCACCGCCGCCACCACCACCGCCGCCGCCTTGTCGTTTTTGGCGATGGTTGCTGGCCATTTCCGCTTGTTCGTCGACGTCAGCGAGCTTGCGTAGGATTTCACGTAGGAGAGACGAGGGGTTTGGGCCTGCTGTGTCTGTGTCAAAGTCTTGTGCTGTTGCAGTTCGTTGTTGAGTAGAGTCTTGTTGCCTGGTTCGTACAGCGTTTGTTGTCCACTGCCAATGGTTATCGCCAACGTCCATCTGACCAAATGACTGCTCCTTGAGATTGCGGTAATACTCGTTGTCGAAAAGGTCTCGAACCGTTGTCCACCGTCCGCTGAAACCGGACTGAGTGGGATCGGCGCGGCCTACCGTGTGGGCACCCATCAGGGCAACAACATCGCGAGCCTCCATGTCGAAATTGTCCTTGAAGTACCCCAAGGTGTTCTCAATGCCTTCCAGAGAGCTTGGGAAGTTGTCCATCGCACTCGTGGTAGGGGACGTGGCGCAATCCTCGCGGCCCCAGCGAAAGGGGGTCGTGACCGTGGCTCCCCGGCCCATCTCTGTTGCCACCACGCCGGCAAGGGCCCAGAAATCGGCCCTGGATATCACGCCGGTCAATCTGTTTCGATCATAAAGGTTCTCAATGCGCCGATGGATATTTCCGAGGCCGAGGTTTGCCGGATCGTCCAGGTTTATGCACCCGTCGCACCTCTCGCTCACGCAGTCATGGAAGGCCAAGCGGATGGCGGACGCGACCAGAGGACGCTGGAGGCCACCGTCGGGGTTTCTGTTGAAAGTTCCGTTGATGAGGTCAGTTAGCAAGGACTTGGCACGGTCGTATTCGGCTCTGGTGAGACCGTGCACCGCCACTGCACAGAGGGCGGCCGAGACGATCAGTACTCGCAGCATCTTCGGCCAAAGTAGAGTGTAGCGCAACACTTCTCGCTGTCTGTTATGAAGGCTTCATACTCAATGGATAGTTTTGTACCTGGCGAGTATCCTTTGTCCAGTTTTTATTGGAGGATATCTTATTCAACCAAGGCAGGTTTACACGTTAACTCTAATGTAGTCCGATCCTGCTCAACACCTATCCGAGCCACACCCAAAGACTTACGTTTACCCCTAAGTCGTTCTTAAGCTTCATCCAGACAAAGTTTTTCTACTTTAGGTAATTAATCAATAAGTTTGCCATAGTTACACGTACATCCTTTAAAAACAAAAGAATCCGACCTTGGGGCGTCCTGTTTTCCCCAGTATAAGCCAAGTTTTTACAATGACGCCTATGGTATGTTAAGGACACTCAACCTTGAAATGGCAGCGTTACGGAGCTTGAGTACGTTGTCATCGCGTCACGACGTTATTAAATTTATGCTTACAATATTACTCTTAAAGTTACTTAGCCTTGAAATTAAACGTACTAGGTGCCACAATAATCCCTCTGCTGTCGGAGTGTTACCATTGTTGTCGTGAATATTATTATATCAATTGAATAAGCATTTGATATATTCACCTATGAATAGTCATTTGGCAAATAATGCCACATTTTGTTCTATTCTTGAGGTGAAAGCATCGTATTCACGACTCACTTTCTTTTAGACAACATTGACGTAAATCCCATAAGCAATTCCCTCAAAAGCAATGACGTGCTTATTTAAAAATCACGGAAAAACCAGTGAACTTCAGTATTTAGAAGGGGGAAAGGAGCACGTCATATTAACAGGTACATGTAGTTTAAGACAAAAAAGTAGTTGTTTGACAGGCAATACTCGATTGTATTACCGATACCCAATTTATACTGATCTTGCTTATCCGTATTAAAACCAGCATCATTTTGATGTGAGCACTCCCCCCTCCCCCCATCCAACTTTAGACATTACACATTAAAGGAAAAATCTGAATTATTTCAAAATGAATCTTAGGCGGCAGAATGGATGGTTTCGTTGGTAATTTAAATATTTGACGTGTACCCTTGTGTTTAATGTACCTTTTCACTACGATGTACAAGCCAGACAACCTGTTAACGTCGGACATCCATCTTATCCATCTTGTATCAGTTAAAGCCCCAGTGCAATTCCCATCAGCCTATTTCCATGTCTTAATTAGTCAATACACTTGGCTGAAACATTTTGACACGATACATCGTATTATTAACATCACACTTATTTAAATCTTTTTACACCGTGAACACAAAAAGACGAATTTCATAGAATAAAACTTATCAAAACAACATCCACATCGAATACGTCAAACAGGGTCGTACATGTACCAGGGTATCTTAATCGAATCGTGCTCAAAGTCGTGTAAGGTGGACACCGCGGGTCGATTTACACAAGGCATATTTAGCCCGAAGTTTGGCCCAAACTTTTAGACCGAAAATGTAGGCTAGTTCTGTTCGAAGAGTACAGCAGTCCACTTAGATAATGCACGTAATGGTGTGGGACATAAGTCATGCCTTTTTTGTTATGAAACTGACACAGTGCTTTGTTTTATTGTTCTGTTTCTGATGTACCTTTTGTCTCAAAAGACAAATATACTCTTTAAAAGTTTGGACCAAAGTTCGGACTATGCTTCTTTTGTGAAACAGGTCCTGTCGAGGCCCAGTTGTCTGCTCTATCGGTGACTTGATCGGTCAAGAGGCCAGGGTGACACCTATGGTGTCTGACCATTCCACGGACGGTGATCAAGGCAGTATCAGGGACGCGTATACCATTGACTTTATTTGAACGGAATTAAGTGAATATGTAGTCCTCTCTTTTTCTCTTTCTTTCTTTCTTTATTTCTTTCTTTCTTTCAAAGATGAAATGGAGAGAGAAGAGTGAGGGAGAGAGTGAGAGAGTGAGAGGGGTAAAATGGAAAGAGGGAAAGGGGAAGGGAGAAAGAGAGAGAGAGAGGGCAGTATCCGCGGCCAATACACAGATGACTCACGAAGTGTACGAAATTAAATACACATTTTCCTGTTTTGTTCATCAAAGAGAAGTTGAGTCATGACTGAATGGCAAACATCATAATGCTGGCCCGTAGCCAGGCGGCGTCCGGGGGGTTCGAAAGAACCGCCCCTTTTGCTGGGAAAAGGTCCACTCTAGGTAAAAATTGATCTAGGTACATGACGTTTTTATGGGAAAAGGTCCACTTTTTCAAAAAAAAGAACCCCCCTTTTGAAATTACTGGCTACGGGCCTATAATGATGCACTCACTGAGAGTGGAGAGAGAGAGAGAAAATCGAATCCATTTATAACACAGCTTATTAACAAGTGTCACGCAGAGTGCAAGCGGACAGTTTCATTCTATAACAGCAGATAATATCTGCAACTATATTCTAATGTTGGCAAATACACAGAATCGAACGTTTTGTTTGAGAAACCGCTGCCGACCAGAGCACGTATTTATAAGTTAATTTATCGCGTTTTAAAGGGTTTTGATTCTGGAGACACAAATATCTTCTTTTGCACTCCCCATGTCAAAAGTAAGATCTCAATGTACACAGAAAGTGAAGAACTGACGCCTTGTTGGGTTACCCACCACATACTAAAGCACTTTCTAGTATACGTGATCACCAGGTATTTTTAATGAGCAGGCTTGATCTTATTTTATTAAATCTTATCAACAGATCATATTTATTTTCATTTTATACATTATGTAAGAGGGAAAGGAATAGGGTTTAACTTTATAAAAATAACATCAAAATGTTAGTTTCGGAAATCTGAAGGGGGGGGGGGCTGTCCTGCTCCATCTCCCTTGTATGATTCGGCATGACAGGTCCATATACAAAATTGTACGTGACTTAGTGATAACACGTGTTCCTGAGCGAGCGAGACAGAGAGAGAAAGGAAGAGAAAGAGAGAGAGAGAAAAAAAAAGAAAAAGAGCTACAGAGAGAGAAAGAAAGCACGCACACACACACACATCATTTTTTTCACCCAAGCCTACCCACTCTACCACGTAACTTCAACGGACATCATCTCACAGACAATGAAAACCTATATCCGATCACGTGCGTGACAGACACCACATTAATATCCGTACATTAGCTTATTTATCAATCAAAAATGGCAAAATTGTGTGATTTCCGTTGGACTAAGGAGCACTGCAATTGCGAGGCAAGTTGAGTAAATTTAAACGTGAACCTGTAAATCTTTGAAACATGACGCTTTATTTTGATGTCGGCAGGTTGTCTTTATCTCGTTTTGAATGACACATTGAAGCGTGAATAACAAGGCGTTGCACTATCTGTTCGTATTCCCTTCACAGATGAGACAAAAATGCTCAACATTTTAAACAAGTACAAAATATATGTAACAAAAACAAATGCATTTTACGGTGTCCAAATCAATCCATAGCTGTGCATATAAACCAAGAATCGTGGCATATTTAAGGATACTTTAGCCAGCGACACGCAAAAGTCTCATTTTGCGAAGTTAGCTCATGATGGTCTTTTCAAGAGTTTTGGTATTTCTGCTTCTTGCTGTCTCCCACAGCGCATACGGAGCAACCACAAGTCGTAATCCCCTGACGATAGTTCTGCCAGAGGTTTGTATTTCTGGGATAATTTTGAAACGCCAGGAGCAACAGGGCAACTGCATTTTTAAAACTATATTTTCGTATATTACTCTGAAAATGAAATAGGCGGATTTTGAAGAAAAACAGCTCCAAAATTAACGCTCGTGTTGATCATTTTTCAGCGTTGTTTGATCCTTCTCATTTTAATAGCATTAAATTTTCATTAAAACTTACAAGGGTAAGACTTATTATTATTATTATCATTATAAGTAGTAGTAGTAGTAGTAGTAGTAGTAGTAGTAGTAGTAGTAGTGGTAGTAGTAGTAGTAGTAATTTCGTGCGCCTATATAGGTTATTTATAAAAAAAATACATGTATATGGAAATCATAAAATAGAAGGAATTCGAAAATGCTTTGGTTATCATTATCTTTGTCAGTTGTCATTCATGTATTCAGGGTGTTGACAGTCAAACCGACCTCCCAACATGTACTCCTACACAAGTATGCAGCGAGGTGCGTCCGTATCTCCCGGCGTGGCTCTCCACCGCCAGGTCTTCACAAATGAGAGACGTCACATGGTTGCCACGCAACGCTACCCTGTTCTGTAAGTGCCCGGATGAAGCCTCGCCCTGTGCGACTTCGTTTGGGTTTGACTCACTCTCAGGGCAAATATATAATGGCGCCAAGTTGCACACGTGTGGAGCACCGTCTCCTGTGCCCTACTGCGCCTTTTCAACCCCGGGAGTTCTAAAGAAAGAACCTGTTAAAAACGCTGCAGGGAAGGATACGGTGAAAATTGAATTGAGCTGTAGGTGCCCCGGCGACAGCAGAGCCGTGTTTTCAGATCCAAAGCTGGAAATCACGACATTTGAAAACGAGATAAAGACTGTGGATATCTCGTGTGAAAGGGTAAATATATAAACATTTTCCTATAAATGAAAATGAAAACTTATCTTTTATTATTAATAATGTATGAATGGTATAAATTTAGGAGGCATTGGGGGGGGGGGAGGGTTTATTCCTTCAATGACGAAACGAGTGGATGCTCTAAAGGGTAAAACTGACAAATAAACAAGGAAACAAACTTAAAATACATTTAAAAGCCAGTTTCTAAGGTGTTAATTTGAAACCCTCAATGTTGCGATAAAAGCGAGGGTGCCGTTACAATGGCAGATCCAGGGAGTGGCCTTCTTATTATACTTGTAGTTAGAATATTTTCGTCGAATTTTATACTTGCGGAGTACCGTTAGGGGATTACCCGCTGATGTTTTGAGCCCACTGTAAGAGCATTCAGAACAGCGGACGAACAGACCCGCGGATCAAATATGGCCGATCCACTTGAATGCTTGTTGCGTATTCAGTGTCTAACCGGAAATTAACCGGCAAGCTTTTTAGTGAGTCGCTTTACTTGATCTGCAGGTCTGTTAGTCAGTTGTTCTGAATGCAACAGTTTTGTCAAGCATCTTACCGTTGTCAGGTGTCAGAAATTTGTAGCATTGAAAACGATGCTGAGTCTCCTCAATGTTTGGACGTGTCTTACGAGTACGGGGACGAGAGCCAAATCGTACTGGGAGATGTTTCAAGGCCTTGCAGGTAATGTTATGGGTAACGTGATGACTTACCGCTATATAATGACGTAAACGTAATAGGAAAATGACGTGGTGATTCGTTCTTTGTGTCATAAAAAATGAATGATGAAATACGAATGTCAACTCGCAATTTATGTTATCTCCAAGACTCGTCAGTGAATATAACCTGACCTGTGACGTAACCAAATAATGACGTTAAATATCTGCATTCTTCAGTTGTGATCAACATATTTGGATGGTGATAATGAAGTAGTCTTCCTCTTTAGGACTGGAAACTCAAATACTTTCAGAATCTCTCGATTTTTCTTTCTGTTAACGTTTCTAGGTGTCCCGGTGGGAACACTTGTTTACAGTATTATCGCCATTGGTCTCGGTTAATGCAAGAAGCAAGAACTGCCATAAGACGGAACCGCAAGACAATTTCACCTAGCATGATGCAGAGATTTAATTATCGTGTAAAGAGAAAAGAGCTGTTGCCATTATGTTTTCCTGTAAGTATCTTATTTTGATAATTTGAATTCATATTTAATAATTGAAATTAGAGCTTCCATTAATCTATTCTATTTTTCTATAAATCTGTAGGCCTATAGAATATTTTGTTACGGCAATTTTTTAACAGAAAAATGATCAAATAAAAATGCACACACTTTTATTTATTTATTTATTTATTTATTTATTTATTTATTTGTTTATTTTATGTTTTGCAGGGAAGTCTCGAAAACTCGACTGAATATTTCAACGAGGTACGTTGAATCCCTTTTGCATTTACACCAGATAGAAGAAAAGAAATTGTACCTTGATTAATTGAACGTTTGATAGGAATATGCATTATTTCAGAGTGTTATCACTTATGTTCATGGTTTAAATCATGAAATAATGTTGTAGGAGCTTATGGTCATAACCCTGATTACACTTTAAATTACACTTTGAAGTGTAATGACATTGATGTAACACTTTCCGTGGCGGAAACTGGGATAACACTTTCCGTGAATCTGCACTGTTTAAACCGGGTGTCACGTGTACGGTCCGTTCTGCGTGAACCATCCGTCCTGACTGATTGCACACGCAGCAGACGCGTGTATGAGCCGTTCCGTGAATGATCCGTTGTTATTCACCTGTACTGTTATATTCGGCTAGTTCATTTCCTACCTCATTATAAATTAACTAGCTATGATGGGAATATTTCTAGGTAAAATTCGCGTGTTAATTGATAATTCTGATAGAGAATATTTTAATCAGCGTCAAATTACAGTTCGACGCATGGATGAACCTACCGTGGACGAGCCGTCGTTATTCAGCTATTTTAGTATTGATTTAGTATTGATTTTACTTTTATTTTATAGGCTAGTGTGTTGATATGGCCACCTGAGGGAAATCGCAGTAGAGGTGAAAAAACTAAAAGATATGAATACTTCTAAAGATTATGTTTGAATTTGCAGTTTGTTCTCAACAGTGCATGTTTATTGAAGGCTAAGAATGTATAGATGACTCGCTAGAGACGGACTGTACACGCCGGAAGTCTCTCAGATTTGCCTGCACTTTGTGCGCATGAGCGGATCCTCTTGGCTATTTGTTGTATTGCGTGCATAACTCTCTATATTTCTTCCTGTTCATTTGTTTTTCATATTGAAGGACACTATATTTTAAAAGAAAAAATAACGAATGGACAAGTCGATTTTTGCAAATATTGAACAAAACGTGTGCGACAATGAAGTATTTGAAAAGCTCTGCTGATTACTTCAAAGAGGTTATGTTTTCACCCATGTTTGTTTGTTTGTTTGTCATCAACATAACTCAAAATGTTTGGATGAATTTCGATGGAGTTTTCAGGGAAGGTCAGAAATGGGTTAACTTAGAAGTGATTAGTTTTTGGTGGTGATCCGGATCAATAATCAATCAATAAACAATAATCAAAAATAAAAAAAGCTAAGTTAAGTACCGATTTTGATGAAATTTTCTGGAACTGTCAGAAGTGGGCCAAGGAACAGATGATTAGTTTTTGGTAGTGATCCGGATCAATAATCAATCAAAAAAAACAAAAATATAGAAAATGTCGGGGTGAAACGGCATTGGATGGAGACTTAGCTGCCTTGGCGGAGGTCTGCGCTCTCTGAGTGCTTTTCTAATTTTAAAGTTAGGGGAGAGCGGGGTGGGTTGGAACGCGGGTAAGTTGGAACATTGGCTTTATTTCTTAAATCACAAGACCGATCATGTGCTCCTTCAGCATAAAAATGTCACATGGCATGGTCTTTAATCCGGGAAACTTTTGGAAGTTTCGAAAATGCGGTAAAAGTTTTATGCGAAAAAAACGTATTTTCGCCACTCGAAGTAAGTTTTCATATTTTTGACATTTATCGTGCTGTAAACTAAAGTATAAGGATTATATCACTGAAATTGTGCATAGCATTTAGGACCACCTTGATGTTCAAAAAGCTGTAGTTTTTTTAATCATCTCCCACGCGTTAAAGAAATACAGTGTCATAAGTGGGCCATGACGTCATAGGGGTTGGTCGGAACATTTGACATGGGGCCAGTTGGAACACTGTCAGGGGTGTTCCAACCCACCCCGCACGGTGTTTTTCAATTTCTTATCTCTCTAAATGTTTTATTTTCAACTTTGAAAAGAGTAGCGACGCACCCAGTATAACTCCAACTGGAGACAAAATTCAGCTGATAGAACATGTCCAAGGTGCCGGAATGTACATGCGTGTAGAAGATACAAGGGGGGATGGTCACTGCTTGTTAAATGCAGTTGCTATCTGTTTGGTCGAAAAGGGGTCTGCATGCCCACTGTTGCTCTTTGCGATAAATTGCTTTTAGAAGTGGAAGGAAATGTCGATTATTACTCTGATTTTTGCGGCAAAAATGAAAATATTCTAGCTGACATGAGAGCCTATGTTATGGATAAACTATATGACACCAATTCTGCCGATATGGTTTTAAATGCTTTGTGTAATGGATTGGGGGTTGCTGTTAATGTTTAGTGAAAGAGGGTACAAAATCCGTCAGAAAAGACAAACATTCACATCGTGACTTAGGCAAAAATTCAGTTGAAATCTCAGTTGCCCTCACCAGAAGAGGTGCTACAGCACACAATAGCGCACTTAAGAAAAACCCAAAACAGTTCAAGTCCAGCAATACCACTTTGAGAAATTAGACCGCTTCCAAAGGCTCACCGTCGCAGTCCAATGATTAAAAAAAGAAAACGATGCAGTGCAGTTCTTACTGACACACCTGAAAAAGAGCTGCTCGAAAAAGAAAAGCTCAAGCCCAACAAAATTAAAAAGGACAAGCGCAACAAAAATAAAAATGTTAAAGGTACATACGAACCGAGCATCGGTGGAGCGTGGATTCCCAGTAACACATGTAAACCACTTCTACTAGATTCTTATATGACTCAAATAAATTCGACATGCCAAGGGATAAACTGAATAGATCACTCGATCAGCCATAAAAGACCTTTAGACTGCTCCTTTCTTTAAATTTTTGGTTGTAAATTTTACCTACTTTCGTGACCTACTTCCCTGCCCCATTGACATACAGCTTAGAATGCGAGCAGAAAAATTCGTTCAAACATCATTTTCGGGTAGAATTAAACAGTGCCTTTTGGTTATTCTCTTAGTTATACTACTTGAAACTATATGCTGGCATTTGGTTGGTTTTTGTGACAAAACAAATTGACTTTGTATGCATCTTTAAAGATTTCTAGTCGACAGAGAAAATCAAGAAAAAGGAAATTAAAGATGACTAGCTATTCTGAGTCAGAAGAAGAGTGGGAATGTGTGGTTTGTGGGGAGCCGTTCAGTAGCAGCTGGCTAAAAGAGAAATGGGTTCAATGCATTGTTTGTCTAAAGTGGTCACATGAAGACTGTACTAAGGGTGACCAATTGTAAATATGTCAGAACTGCGATTTTGATTCTGAGGATTGGTTGAAAGAGTTTTCATTTGTGGGTCTAACATATTGTTGTTGATAGGTTGAGTTATGTGAATTCAACTTATTTTCACTTAAACTACACCACTTTTGTTATCATTATGAAATGAAGTGTAACTGGATATGGTTTATACATCGAAAAAGACTATTTGAAAACAAATCGTAAACGTAAAAAATGCTTACAAACTATGGAGATACGAATACAAAGTAACATGTACTTGTTGGGAAGTTAATATAAATAAACCTACTCTTAAAATGAATTATACTTTGAATTTATATGCAAGCGTTCCAACTCGCCCTCTTGTTCCAACTGACCCCACTGCCTGTTCCAACTGACCCCGTGGGTGGGGTGAGATGGAACGTTTTAGGAGGCAACTTTGAGCATTTATTACTCTTAAATGAAAAGACCTACTTGATGTTTTATTTCATAGATGAGTGCGGCAAATAATTTTCCCCTATCAGATTTTTTATTTTTGTCCCCAAAGCTTTGACTGCTGATATATCGCAAAAAAGGTGAAAACTGTTCCAACCAACCCCGCTCTCCCCTATTTGTTTATTTTATTCATTCGTTCACTTATTTATTCATTATATTTATTTATTTTTGTTGCATGAGTCTACCAAGGGCGTGACCTTTATTTCCAGGGCGTAAACTCCGATGATCAGTTGCCTCATTGTTCCCATCCTAACCAGCTGTGCAGTGTGGTGAAGCCGCATTCCTTGGTATTAGGGGTACGAGCGCAAAGCTTCTATTACATCGAGTCTCTCCAGCACAGTTGCTTTAAATTTCCCCATTCGTTCATTGTACACTGATTCATCCGGATCGATTGTGGAGCGGCAATGGAACACAACAATGTGATCGGTATCTTAATTGCTTAGAATAGATAAACAAGCAAACAAACAAACAAACAAGCAAACCGACAAATGAACAATAATAATTATATTATTAATTTATATATTAAATGAATAACTAAATTAATAATTTCCAATTTTAGAGAAAAACAATGACCAAAACAGTCACCAAATATTGTCGCTGCAGTGGGGACAAACCTTGCCGTGACGATTTCACCCCAGATCCTGTCAGGAGTCTGATAATCGGGGGTAAACAATATCACACCTGCAAAGGCAACGCTGGTGTGCCTTCTGAGGAGAGGCCTTATCAGGGTAGGTCTCCGCGTCTATGCAGGGGCGGATTGAAGCCGTCTTCTGGGTCTTCCGGAAGACGGCCATATTTTCAAGTTTAAATTGACGGGTAGGCCTATCTAATTTTTTCTGTCGGAAGACGGTCAAAAATGGATAGATCAACAAAGATTATTTGAAAGACTGTCAGAAAATATCTCTGAATCCGCCCCTGCTATGTGTAGCACCTGTTGTGAGATCGGTGTCTTTATTGTCGAAAACTGAGACATTTTATATAGGGTTTTCATGTACCAGAAAATATGTAATATCCTGCGATGTGTTATGTGACACGTATCACGTGACATCAGGTGCGACGCGGAAACTGCAAGTGTAAATATACAAATATATCGAAATATTAACGAATTGAATACTAGGAGAATTATTAATAAAAATTCCGAATGTTAAAGGGGTTTGAAATGGAATACAACATCACTGAGATCTGATTCCCACGTTTAACTTCTATTTGCGCCATTTAATTTATTTAGAAGTATGAGTATATTACACATTTCATTGTCTCTAGTATAAAAACATTACAAAGATATGAAAGAGATTTAACGTTCTTAGATTTTTTAACGTTTTGATCCTTCATCAAATGACATTGATCACGTGACTGACTGGTCTCATATCAAAAGTACGTAGATTGATGCTACATGTAGGCCTACCTACCATTTGGAAAGAGAGATACAATTATCTTAGAAGTTTGATAGATTTGAGGTCAACATTGGGAAAGAAAAGTTTCTTTGCAAGATATTTTCACATAAAAAATATGACTTTAGAACATTTTTAAACACGGACCTTTGAGCTTTTTAAAATACTTTATTGATTTACATATGGTACATCGCTCGATGCGAAAAAGGCCTAACGTTTTTATCACGAATAAAAATGTTTATGATCTTACGTAGCAATGGTATGTGAAGTGAAAACAGTCTACCCAAACACCGAGTTTACGTGGACGGAGGCCAGGGCCGGCCTATCCAGTGACCAACTTAAACCTTATGACGTCAGCAAATACGTCACGCTAGACTGCAAGTAAGATTTGACGTCATATCTTGTTTCGGGATCGTAAAGGGGTGTGGTAGTGGTTTTATTAGTAGTATTTTTTTGTCTGGTAAGGGGTTGTTTTCAATAATGTTAAATTATAGAGCATGCAGAAATATTCGAAGACTTGGACAGTAACAAATGGAGACAGCTTTCGTATCATTTGCGCAAAATGCTTATAATAATCCTACTAGCACCTCCTTTCTTCTTCTTTTACCCTTTTTTTTATTTTTTTCTTCTTATTCTTTTTCTCTCGTCACACATTTTTTATAAATGCATGTTATAATTTCAATGAAAAAGAAAACTCTGCCCTTCCTCAAAATATGATTTCTCTCTCTCTCTCCCTCTCTCTCTCCATCGTGGCAAAGGTAACAGCACCTTTTTGTTTTATCTCTGATCATTTCAGACCACAGGGGAGTAGGTACGGGGCCACCTTTCGCACAGGAGAGCTCAGCAGATATGGGGCTGGAATGGCAGGCGTCGACGGAAATCTGACATTAACAACGTCCCGTAAAACTGATTACATATCGGTGAGTTTTACAAATTAACATTCCTTAGGGCTCATTGCCAATTACGCTATAGTTCTACGTAGATCGAACCAACTTCCCGTGAACTCTTGCTGAATTCAATCCGATTAACAGATTGACGTGCTTCCTCTCAGTGTTGAGTAGAATACAGAAAAACTCGTAATTGTACGAATGTTTTGGAAGCAAGAGAAGGAGTGTTAATCTGTTAACCTGATCGCATTTTGTAACTCCGCGGAGTTGGATCGATCTACGTAGAGCAAAAGTTTCATCGGGAATGAGCCCCGAATTTTTCTTTAATTTACTTTTTGATTATTTGTATTATTTTATATAATATTATAATTCAAACTTTTCTGTACTGCCAGGTGAACCACTGCCGTTACAAGAAGGAGTCTGACGTCTGTGGGACAGTTACCCTTAACTACCAACATCTTTACGTCACCACTCAGAAACCTGCCTGGGAGTTCGCCAAAGCCGAGCAAGACTGTATGTAAGTATAGACAATTTATACACTCAACTTGATGTCAATATCATCTTCTCTTTTTTTCTTTCAAGAATCACTAACCTAATTAACGTACTTCCGGTTTAAATATATGAACATTTTCCACAGGTGCCCCAGTGACAGCATCTGCCCGATAGAAAAGTGGGTCAAGGACGTCCACACCGGTAACGTCACCGACTTGACGCCTCGCTACAATGGTCCGGTTACCGTCACGATCCGCTGCCAGAAGAAGCCAGAATAAACATGACGCCAGATAGGACATCTGATTTATTGTGACCAGGTTACATGTCATGCTTGCCGTACCGCTACTATGACTAATTAAGTGCACTTCACGGTCTGGCAACTGTAGTGAAAAGATAGAAAGTGAGATCAAATGAGAGAGATAAACCTAATTTATTTGTTAATTTTTTTCATTTATGGCTTTATCTATTTCTTTTAGATATATTTGCTTTTCGACTCAGTCACAATGTTGGTTGAGAGTACTTCATGTATGTTTCAGGATTGAGCAAGGGGATACCGACCATCTTCAACGGCACTTTTAATGTTAATGATATGATAATCGCTTTCTGAAAAAAAAAATGTTAATCAAGCATTCAAGAGAACAATTATCAGACACCAGTAATACTAAAACAAACCTATTGTATTATTAAATAAGTTGAAATTTAATTTTTTCCACTATTTTGGTGCCACAACAGTAGCAGAAGCAAAAGCTGTCTTGTCCCTGAATATGTAATTTATGCATTTGGCTCATGAGCAAACACGGGGGGATTCAATTTTTTACTAAGGCAAGGACACACAGATATATATTTCATAATTCGCTCGGCACCCTTGCCTGATAGAATGTTACCCCTTATGGTGGTCACCACTGTGGGATCTGTTGGTCGAAATGATACACTTTAAGTTTATAGGCACGGTGCCAGCCAGTCAAAAAGACTGTTGGTGCCATATTGCTGGTATTGATTACATCCAGGTACATGTATATATTGTTTATTTGGTAAAGCAATATGTTATTTGAGACGGCCTAAAACTGGTCTACAGTATGGGAGGTGTTGTGTTTTTTTAAGGAATGGCCAAAAGCAGTACACTGCAATGTTAAACAATGACACTGCTGCAAAATAATAATAATAATAATAATAATAATAATAATAATGATAATAATAATAAATAAATAAATAAATAGTTAAATAAATAAGTAAAAATAAATTAAAACAAAAATAAAAATAAAAATAAAAAAGCAGGGTTTGTTGCCCCACATGTCCAGTTAAGTGACGCCCACGTGCACCCTGCGCCCACCTCTGGGTGTGCCATTAAATCTGGTCGATGACTATTAAAAACTAAATATTATCTATCAAACAAACTCACGGAGACGACAACGTGCCATTACCGGCTAATCGTGCTTAATTGGTCAACAGAATAAATAGGGTTAATGTTTGTGAAACAAAGTGACAATAGCCAATCAATGTATTAAGTAACACCACTGATCAATGTGTCGTTGGTAACTGAGCTCGTCAAATCGATATTGTAAAATTAAGATAAAATAAAACCGCTCATTGAGTATTTAATGCGCTATCCACCAGCCACGCGTAGAATGCTTTCAGATCTGTCTCGGGGAATGTGATTTAGACCTTGAGGTAAGTTATAATTAGTAAGGCCCTCTTCACAAGGAATTACATCGTTACAACTATTTTGTGCGGCATCAGATTTAAACGTCATTTTGGTTCAGCCGATAATGAAATCACTCATATGAAACAAGTTAGACGGGGCAATCTGCCGTCTGTACTTTGTGTTACAAAATCGATGAACTGCAAATTAATATTGTCATAAAAAACTGAGCGATAAATTTCTTTTCTCAGCTAAGAGGAAAGCAATTGGGAGAAGAGCAAAAGTTAGTAAATCACGTATTGAGGCAATCTCAAGTACTGTGACATATTGTCAGTCCGTTATTTTCTCTGGAGCCGAGGCAAACTCTTGATGGACTTTGCTTGGTTGTCAGAAAAAATACAATTGTTGTGCGGCAAATCTAAGAACCCATAGTTGCTAAAAAAGGGACAGACAATCTAACGTCACAAACCATTTTGTGTTTTATACCCAAACCGGACAAAAAATAAGGAACAAAGATTGCCATAGAGCCTGCCCTACACACAAAAAGCTGCAAAGATTCAAATAAAACTGGTTATCAAATTATTTGACTAACTGAATGAACATTTGATAGTCGCTTTATCGGGAATAAAGGCAGTTGCAATGCGTGCACATGAAAGCCAGTTGGATTCATATAGCGCAAGGATACTTGGATTCAAAATGGACGCGAAAAAGAGTAAAACCACCAAGAGCACAATGACAAAGGTGCACGACATCTCCACCGCGCAAGCCAACGTGGATAGTGAGAAAGAAGGCCCGGATGCAAAATCCCACTGCTTGACTTTCGTCAACGAAGTCAGCATCCTTGGCGTCAAATATGTCACCAATCAAAACCTCGCTTTGCTTCGAAGAATTATTTGGCTCTGCTTCGTTCTGGCTGGTTTCGGCTTCTTGATCTACCACCTTCACAACCGGATTTCGTACTTTTACCGATATCCCTCATCAGTTAATATCGAACTGAATTACCCGGATTCCATCCCGTTTCCGTCCGTGACCATTTGCAATAATAACAGGTTCCGAAAGAGTAGTTTAAACGCTTCTGGGGAATTGGACGTAGGGTACCTGTATACGACACCCAATACGCAAACCACACGGAATCTGACCGGTTATAACTGGACGGAATTTTACCGGACCCACGGTCATCAAGCAGAGCAGATGTTAGGGGCCCCTGGGGTAAGGCACCTCCTCTAACACCGGTCTGACGAAACTGAGGGTTCGTGTAACAGAGAGTTCCATTTAATTATACAGGTTAGGGTTAACCTGACGTAAGTGTGTCAAAATCTAAGGTGAGGCTTACCTGTGAAAATTGTTGGAAACCGAACTCTCTATCATTTGGGACTCTCTGTCACGTCACACCGGTCGTGCGACCACGTGGAGAACGGATGTTTGGTACTTTACAAATATTTGATAGCTAACATCAAATTCATACATCTGTGGGGGTGAACTTTTTATATTGCAGCCTTTTTATATACACATTAAAGAGAGTTGGCCAATCGAGGTTCTCCTAGCGGTCGCAATCCCGTTGTAACAGGCTTTTTTACCTGTACACATATTAACAGATTTATGTGATACATACATGGATCATTTCAAACGCAGTTGCATGTATGACTAAATCATGTATGACTAAATCATACATGCAACTAGAAAAGCACTCAGAGAGAGCAGACCTCCATCAAGAAATATAATTACCTCCTACAAGGAGGTTATGTTTTCACCCCTCTTTGTTTGCTTGTTTGTATGTTTGTTTGTTTGTCTGTCTGTCTGTCTGTCTGTCATCAACATATCATAAGTGGGCCAATAAACAGATGATTAGTTTTTTGTGGTGATCCGGATAAATAATCAATCAATAATCAATCAATAAACAATAATTAAATAAAAATCATTATAGAATGAAAATTTAGGGGTGAAACGGCATTGGGTGGAGACTTTGCTGCCTTGGCGGAGGTCTGCGCTCTCGTTGGCTAATGATCAATCATTAATGGATTTATGGATCATCTCTAAAATCGAATAACTTTTAAATTCGCCCATTTCTTCTTGAGGTGTCCTGGACATTTCAACAAAATCCATTACACCAGTGACGAACAAACAGACATATAGACAGACAGACAGGCAAACGGTGGTGAAAACATAACGTCCTTGGCGAAGGTGAACAGTGGTCGAAACAGTTCATATGATGTAAACTGGCGAATCCACACACACACACACACACACACACAATATTATATTATTATTATAATCATTTTCCTTTTTTTTTTTTTTTTTTGACTCAGGCCTGCCGGTGGAACGGAAGATATTGCTCCCCCTCACAGTTCACTGAAGTCATCACAGATTTGGGCTTATGTTTTACATTTAATCACGGTAAGTTATCCTTTAAGTATTGCCATTTTTTATGCATGCTGTGTATGGTCCGGATATTTTCTAAGACCCCATTCCCACAGATTTTAGATCGATCCATCCCTGTGGGGAGTCTCACTAGATTACTGTCACCTTAGCCGGCTTAAATGTCCGTCCCGCCTACTTAAAGCTGTAAGGGGGTAATTAACTACCGTGCGCGCTCGGCTGACAGCAATTTAGCGTGACCCCCAGGGAGGTAGGTCGATCCAGATGGATCGATCTAAATCTATGGAATGCACTCTAAGGGTATGGTGGCTAGTTAAATCATGCTTTGCTTACCCAGTTGATTATAATGTAAGAATAAGGTAATTAGTTAGATTATGCTATGATTACATTATTTTGTAAAAGTTAAGTAGGTAGTTAAATATTTTACCGCTTTCTATGACTAATGCAATAACACAAAGCCAAGCAAAGCAATCCTCGTGATTTTGCAAAATTTTAATCGACCACATGCATGCATGCGTATTACTATTATATCTTTGATGTCAAGACAACCAAAGACCTAAATAATATTTTTAAAGTCTCCTGTGCTGATCCTGTCTTGTCACTTTCCAGCATAAACACTTTTGGATGTAACGGTAGATACATCACACGCACGAAATGATAGATAAAGTGCAGGTCGACCACCAAACTTAACGCGAAATAGAGGAGATAATTGAAGAGGCGTACAGCCGTGTGATTTTGTCTTGGCACTCTCCAACGTGTTTAAAACACTATTGGGTGTAACGGTAGACACGCACGAAATGATAGATAAAGTGCAGGTCACCGAAATTAACGTGAAATAGAGGAGATAATTGAAGAGGCGTTATTGTACGGTGGAATAGCTGAGAAATAACGAAGATGAAATTAAATTGGAAAATAAATTGAAAATAAATTGAATAAATTGGTATCAAACGCTATTTCTTTGTGTTTTCTTGATTTTGTGACAGCTTTACATTTATAATAATAATAATAATAATCTTTATTGGAGAATGGCAACCCGAAGGTTGAAGTTATACAATTACATATATATATATATATATATGAATATTTAAGTCAAGGAAGCCTGGTCATTTTTGCACTGGTGCACTCCTTAGACGGTCTCACCTCCCTGGGGAGCATACAGCTCGGCTGCCATATTAGGCGCTCATAGCTAATATAACATTTCTGCACTGCCTGACCAGGCCCCTGCTTCAACCCCTTAGTGCTGAGTGCCAAGCGGGGAGACAGCAGGTACCATTTATGAAGGACTGGTATGTCCCCGGACAGCAGGTACCATTTATGAAGGACTGGTATGTCCCCGGACGGGATTTGAACCCACGTCCTCCCGCTCCGGAGGCGGACACTCTAACCACAAGGCCATCCGGTCGGTTTGCCGTAGGGGTCTGTCTTTTATTGTATGTTTTACAAATAATGTCGTTTCCAACTAGTTGAAATTTATCAATACATGCACAAGCTTAATAAGTATGAACCATATCCTCCATAATGTACTTCACTTTTGCAAAAGATTTGTCCACATTCAAATCTTTTCAGGTACATAATGCACATATCAAATACCCAGGCTTAAACACCAGATTTCAATACTGTAATAGGCCATCAACTTGAAGTTATAGGTTATCGCTTTAATCCAACACTAATGGCTTAAGTCACATACATCTCAATATTTAGATAACTGCACTAAACACATACGTGAGTAGGGTATAAGTATTAGTACAGCTAATTAATTGACAATCAATTACATTAAACAGCCAGGCGTGTCGCAAGCCTACTTTGTTGTTATTAAGTTAAAAAAAGCCTCTAGGAGCACGAAACTAGAAGTTTACTGTGTTTTTATCGGACGTTAAATATGATCTACTTCAGTGAAATATAAGACCATAGTTTTCCACTGTAATTAAGCAAGTTATCAACGGGAAACAACAACGACATCTTCCCATTTATAAAATTGGAGTTACATTGGGTTTAAATGGACTGCTACTGATCTATCTACTTGTCTGCCGTTATGACAAAATAGTCAATGGCCCCATGGCTACTACATAAAATAGACGTATTTTCAGCGGCCTGTCCGTGAAATTTTCGTTGTCCGATTGCAAGCATTTTTATTGTCCCTTTCAGTGATTTGAACTTATTTAGCTAAGCATTATTTTCAGGGGACACTGGTCTGCAAACCAAAATCATTGGGTCGACGTTTGGTCTCACGTTGATTCTGAACACTGAACAGTATGACTATCTGGATACGACGTTTAACGCCGGATTCACAGTGAGTATATACTGTTCAAAGTGTGAAGAAATTCAGAAAGGTATGTGAATGTTTTTACAAAACTGATTTTCAACGAAAGTCAACGTTGTATTGGCCCGGGATGTTCTTAAACCGCGAAAATGTCATTACTAAAGTACCGCAAGATGTGAGATGCACTACAACTGGAATATCGTCCGTAGCTTTTCCGCCTTATGCATGGCTCACTACATGTTAATACTTTGCAAACGCAGATTTGGATTGGATATATTCTTGATTACTGCGTATGCGTCTTCACTTGCCCATCTGAGTTTGCCTTATAACATAAATTAATAAATACTTAAATAAAAACAAGACATATACAACATGAATTTGTCTCAAAATTCGATTTAAAATCTCGTGTCAAGATTATATACCTTGCGACCCTATGGAGCCTCGTTTTCGTTTCAGATTCTTCCTCATCACCCTGACAACACCCCCTATGTTGATAACCTAGGGTTTCAGATCGCACCAGGAGAATTTGTGAGCGTTGGCTTGTCACAGACTAAGGTGCGTGGGTTTGGAGTCCATAAAGGCAAACAGCATGTACAATCGTTAGTCCATAAATGATGGATATTGCATCGCTTTTACTTTGTTAACTGTGGAACACCACAGACAGGGTACAAAACCCTTCACAAAATTAGGATCCATAACTACTTTTTTAGTTCTGAATTATGTGTTCTTGAGTCTCACTTATTTTTACTTAAAATGTTAAAGGAACATAACAAAAAAAAAAAAAAAAAAAACAGAATGCTTTCAGTTTTAATTTCCCCTCGTATCTCTACACCTATTCTTTGAAATGTTTGGAGACGTATGCATGTGTTATGCCTTTTACAATAAAACCTTAGTACCAGGTGAGGCATTTGTGATGCGCTTTTTTCCTTCGAATTATCATAGAGTGTACATTACTGACAAACATACTAGATGCGCCGCCTAGTTTACATATTTTAGTGAAGGTATGCATTTCTGACCTTTGTCTGTGTGCCAGTATTTATGTTCGTGTTTTTACATACTGCATTTCTTAAAACATTTTTACAGATACAGAATTTGCCTCCACCTTACGGAAAGTGTACGGACAAACATCTGGCGTATTATTCTCCCTACACAACTACCCACTGCTTGACTGAATGCAGGTAAAATAAGCGTAGTCACACTGAACAGGTTACATTTCCACTAATGATTTTTTTTACATTATTAGACGCAGAATCAACATAAACAGTTGTTTTTCTATTTTTAGTCAGTTTGACTATAAATGTACTCAAGTAAAACACTTCCTCTAATATTTTGGGTGCTCTCTGAACGCCTTTATTCACCAGATATGTTTGTGCACTGCATCTTCACTGCTTCTAAAGACTATGCCTAAAACCAAGATGATCATGTGGATTACAGATATCAAAATTTCTGGTTAAAAAAAAAAAAAAAATACCATGTGCGAATGGAATTCAATACATCTAAATTCTGATTCATTATAATAACTTCACAGCTTTTTTTTAAGGTTGAATTTCACGATAAGAAGATGTGGTTGCCGAGAGACACACATGGTCCCGGTAGACGACGTGCCTGAATGCTCTCCACTCCAGTATTGGGGCTGTATTGTGGGCGCCATATCGGAACTTGCCGATGAATATATCAACTGCGCATGCTCTGTCCCGTGCCTTTCATACGATTATGGATACACGATTTCCCACTCAAAAATGTCAAATGCTTTCTCACAAGTTTTATCCGCAACTTACCCGACATATACCAAGGAGTATTTTTTGGAAAACTACCTCATGTTATCTCTGTATTACACGGAGTTGAATTATCAGCTAATAGAGCAGCAGGTCGGATACGAGGGACTGGCTCTTTTCGCAGATATAGGTGGCGCTCTGGGACTAGTATTGGGCAGTACCCTGATGACCGGGGCCGAAATAATGGACTTTGTGATAGCAATGGGGATGGACATTTTGTATCAGAAATAAAGATTGTCTGTAAGAAATGAAGAGCTTTGTGATAACACTAGGGGTGAAGATTCTGTGTCAGAACTAATGGGCTCTGTGATGGCACTGAAGATGAAGACTTTGTGTCGTAAATAATGGATTTTGTGATAACCTTGGGAATGAAGATCTTGAGCCAGAAATAAGTGACAGTGTGTTTGCCACAGTACAGTACAGTACAGTACAGTATTTTATCCACTGGAGAAAAATTATATAAGCTTCACGTACATGTAGATCCAACGCATTAGGCCCTATACAGTAGGTCTACCAGTAGGCTACATGGAGAGGTCTCTTATTATATACGTCAGCTACCCAGAAAACACATACAATATCATAACGTTAATGTTACAAAACGTTCTGTTCTTCTGCTGGGAAGTAAACACACTTACATGTAACTGTATGACTCGAATTTATGAAATGGGAACAATAACTGTTTTATAAAGCTGCTTACTTAGAATAGTTAAGAGAATTAAAAATCATTTTACTATAAGATGTATTTCGGCACACTAGTATAGGTCTGTACAATACGTGAATGCATTAGCAAATGGCATAGGCCAACGTAGTTCTTAATCCATCTGTATGTATATCGGATACGGTAAAATTAAATCAAATCCCTCTCTCTTTTCAAGACCCGGATGTACATGCATGTGTGCTAGTTTCCAGTAGTTCATTTCCCAACAGCTAATTTCCACTGAGCTTACACACTATCAGTATAAAATAAATTTGTGCACTGTAGTTATGTGTCTTTAAATATTGTAAAATTTACGAGTTATATTCCTCTTGTAAAATGATAATGTTAATTTTATGAGTGCAGCCGCTAAACGTGCTTTCACAAAATATAATTAGCCCTTCTTGTGATGGGGCCTCCAGCTGGATAGCGTAATGCAAAGTTAATATTTAATTGTGAATTATTACACTTAAATTACGAAGATATACAGTTGGGCTAGCAGAAGTGAACGTAGTCCCCGTTCGGTAAAACAGATGGCAGTTTATACCTGGGGTTGGTCAAGAGAAAGTAAAGTTCAGGGAGTTTGGTCCTCACCAGCTTCTTTGTACACAATTCCCACTCGTCGGAAATGGTCTTGCATCTTTTCCTCTGTGCTCCAAGGATGGACGTGAGGCCCCAGTAAAAGAATTCCGTAAGAAGACATTCAAAATCACAGGTTGGATCTCCAAAGTGATACAGGCCAGTGCAGTTTGGATATCTGAAAATTGTGTTGAGAACAAAATCATCGAAATTATCAAAACGATGTTTTGTGAGAATTTATTTAAATCAGGAATTGTGAATATCGTAGTGTTCTGTTTGATTGTGTCGCCATGGGTAAATTGTACTTTTTTAATTAAAATGTGTCACGGTTGATTAGCTTTTCGTTTTTCTCTTATTTTTCTAACTTAAGCTTTTGAGAGTGTCATGAATAAACGCATGAGTTTTCATGTCAATGGGACCTACAGCACCTGTTTCGTCACGGGATTATGCTTTAAGTACCTCATGAAGGTTAAAAATAATAAAAAAAATAATAAACTTATTCTTCCAAAATATGTTTTTGATGTAGTTTGTGCATAGAAGTAATTTGCTTGTCGGTATTCAAATGTTGTGATCAAGTATATGGCCGCTTTCCCAACAGCGGACTAACAAGTCCGCGGATCAAAGTTTGCCGACCCAGTTGAATGCTTGTTGCGTAATCTCCGCTGGGAATATACATGTATTCAGTGTTTGCGGTATTAGGGGACTTGTATTCATTTTACAGCGCACAGCGGACGACTCGTGTTGTAGGGCCTACCTAGTACAAGTACCAAAATATGAAACCTGATTTGAGGGAAAATCATTTACCTGAATGTATGATTGAATGCAAAGCCACAGTCCTTTATAGCCTTGAGCATAGCCTTGCCCAGAAGAGATGTGTCATTCTGTGCAAACTGTTCAGGGAAAGCATATGTTATGCCAATATCTTGGATGAGGTGGAGAATCTCTTCAAGAGATTCGTCGAACTCAGAACTATGTTCCTCTGGTGGATGGATTTCATTGGCCTCCAGGTCTTGGAACATGTATTTCCTGAGAGAAAATAAAAAGTTAAATCAAAGCGAAAAGTACCACTGACTTGTTGACATTTGATAAATAACTTTAAGGAATTCATTAGACTTGCTATAAATCCGCTATGATTATTCTCCTATTTCATAGCGGGACTTCTATTGTATTTTAATGTGTATTTTAAGAGATATCTTGGGACATAAGATTAATCCATAGGTCAAAGCACATCAGTGCTTGAAAAATTATTTGTAGTGTGTTTTCGCATCCACATACCCTTCCGTTGCTTTCTCGACTTGTTCAATCTTGGCGTTCATTTCCGCTTGGTCTCTGAAACAGCGACAGTATTTAATTAATTGCTTGCGTCGCTACCTCGTATACATGTAGCACAATACACAATGTGTATGGGCCTGTAGAGCCGTATGCTAATCAACTGAATACCAATCCACAACGAAGAGCAATATCCCCTTGAACACTGGCAACTTACATGAATGCGGTATATTTGTTGTCTCTTAATCCGAATATAAGGCAATATTCATACTCTCAATAACACGTACAAGAGAGCTCCGGGGGGCAGGTTGTATATATACAGTGTCATTAAACGATGCTTGTTGGAATAATAATAATAATACTTTTATTAGGTCAATCTTATTTTTCAACCATGTTTTTAACCTACAGAGACAGGAATACCCTTTTTATCAACATTAACGACCTAGTACAGGTACTTTAGTATTATCATAACGCTGAACTTTATTCTTCATTTACAATGACAAAAATATCAACCTGAACATGATCAACGTAGCCCTTCGTTTCACCATGTTCTTGATCACAGCTGGACTATCCACAAGACCGTCACCATTGTTATCCAGGTACTGGGCCATCACTCCAGCAGCATGGATCATCTTAACATCCGGGAATCCAGCAGTTGCGACAATATACACGCCAAATACGTTGAGATATTTCGCAAAGAACGGTTTCAGTTCGGGAACAGTGCTTGGCAAACGAGAGATTGTTTTGTTGACGCAAGGGATGCTGGGATACTTTATAGTGTTTTGGTTCTGCTTTTGGGCCTTGTGCTGGAACAAAAAGATAGAAGAGGGAGGGATGGGGGAGGGGGAGGAGGAAAGGGAGGAGGGAGAGGAGTGTAGGGCCACTGAAGAAGAGGACCTCGAGTCAAATAAGGGCCTGAATACACTGAAAGAGAAGTAAGAGAAGGGATGGTTGATTTTGTCGCCTGCAGGTGTGCTGCACTCATAATTGATCTTTCCTGTCGCTGCGCCTGCGCACACTGCCTTTATGTACTGACACCTGTGTCAAAGTAGACAAATAAATATATAAATAAACAATAAACAAAATAAAATAAATCAACGATAAGTTAAAAGAATTACATGTACCATAGATACTGTAAACGTTCGTGTCTATGATTGGAAATGAAAACAAACTGCTTGTAATTAAAAATGAATAAATAAATGAATAAATAAAAATAAATAAATAAATAAAACTTGTTTTTATTAAAGCTCTTGCAGACAGGCTGAGCTACGCTTTAACCATTTTTTCTAATAATTCTAACACGTGTCCTCCATTGACCAGTGGCCACGTTCAGTAAAGGGATGTGGATTTTTAAGTAGGCATGACGTCATAACTCTGCTGACCTCCTGTAGAAGGCATCGGTCGACCAAGTTACAGGCAGTTCCCATGTTGTTTTCATCACAGCTCAATAAAACACATTCACGATAATATCAGTCAACTTGAACTTACTGACTCTGACGCTGTGTAAATAATACTAGGCAGGTGCAGTTGCAACCCGGCCGTTTCTCATTTCCGTATCAGATACAAATTTTGAAAATTCTTTGGAGTGCCGTTTGTTTTTCTCGATCTGGAGGTTTGGTATGGGTATTGGGGGGGGGGGGGAGGGCTTGGATTGTTGTTTAGTTATCCCTCTTTTCAAATCTTGAGATTCTTGCAAATGTAAAAAAAATAATAATAATAAAAAAATTAAAAAAAGAACAATCCTAACGAGTGAATATTATGTTTAAATTAGTTTAATATATTGATTAAAAATATGGCAAACTCTTACATGTTGTCGTACTTCTTCCCATTGTTGTCACACAGTGGCGTGTCACCTTTGAAATATGAATTCACGCTGCATATGGTGTTCTCATTGTATCTTGTACAAAAAGGCAGCACTGGGATGGCAAGAGTAGCTGTAAGAAACGTTGAAAACAAACGTTTACGATCTAATCTTGTTTAGGGCCCCTTTACACTGGACGGCGTTCTTTCTGCGTCCAGCAGTAAGGACCCATTTGAGAGTTAAAAAATTATAATACTTTACGTGTCGACAACTGGCCGATCATTGAGCATTCATTCTGATACAAAATCAATGCTCCTGTNACGAAACGTTGAAAACAAACGTTTACAATCTAATCTTGTTTAGGGCCCCTTTACACTGGACGGCGTTCTTTCTGCGTCCAGCAGTACGGACCCATTTGAGAGTTAAAAAATTATAATACTTTACGTGTCGACAACTGGCCGATCATTGAGCATTCATTCTGATACAAAATCAATGCTCCTGTCTCCTTATTAAGACCACAGCGATGCTAAATTTCATGGTCGCAGAAAGGACGCAGAAAGGACGCCGTCCAGTGTAAAGGGGGTATTATGAACAAATACGATGACACACATCTGGATTGGAGGCGATTTTTAGCCCTATGGCACTGAATGAGGTGACCGGTGCATCCTGGCTCTGTCCATAGAAATGTCTTAGTGTGAGACCTGAACGTCGGCTTGACTTTAATATTACAAGAAAAATGATTTGCCTATATTCTTTAAAGAGTTAATTGAGATGCTTTTGAAAAGTATACTGCACTATTTTGAGGCGAATCAAGGAATATCGATAGGAATAGAGTAAACCAACTTTTTAAACCTCGTGATACTCACCATCAAACAACAGCAGTGATAGTACTGAACACTTCCAAATTTTCAAATTCCCCGACATCTTGTGAGAACCCTGTCTGCCAGTGTTAAGCACAGAGCGTGTGTACTTGGTTATTATAACTGTTTGCTTTCGAAATTGTTTTCCTCTTGATGATTGTTATAATGGCAACTTGCGTACACTACTCTGTCTGCACTAAATGGCAGCTGGGAACAAAACATCTTAAATCCACCAACGTGCTTCTTGATTAAAAACCTGCCGCGCGAGGTCAATGAGACCCTGTTAAAGTGCATGTTATTGGTAGAGATTATGTTCTGTTTCCCTTCTGTATCAGCAGGCTCGCAGGAAGGATTGCAGTAATCTTGTATGGAAAGGAAGTCACGCCAGAAATCCCTTTTTATGCAGGGTATTATATTCATACGGTTTATTTAGACATTTGGCATCATACCCTTAATATCCGTTTTCTGGTTTGAACTTTACTGAAGTTGTGTTGACCGCTTTTCTCCAGTATGAAGAACGTGGATAAATGTAACCGTTGATAAAATCCGTCTCTCAGGGGTTGACCTTTACTCATTTACTTATAAAAGCACGGTTTAGATAATATTTATGGCATGTTGTGTAATACATATCAATTTTTCGACTCATTTCCTTTATTAGCACACATAAATCCCTGTTGAATGGTTCGCTGAATGGTAATACCAATAAAGCATAACACTCCTCATGATATGGGTTTAAAAAAAGGAATGGGTAAGTAACAACAGTAAGGAAGAAAGGAAGAAGCCCGTTAAATCTATTATAGTACATTTAAGGGGGGTGTTAGGTGAGTAGCTATAGCTGACATCCGATGTATTTTAAATGCACAGTAAAATGGGGGTGGGTATTATATGGATTATATGTAATATACCTGTATTTGCAAATTTGAGATGAGGAGAGCTGAGATATGCAGTTCCACATTGCACATATTATTTTGTGTGAAACAATTGTATTTGCATACTAAGAGGAACAAAACGACAAGCTTCACATACATGTACCTTCTCACTCAACATACTTCCGGTTTTGAAGTTCAGCGCCGACGGGGGGAGGTGGGGGGGGGGGTCTGAAAAAAAGATTATATACTACATTAGAATTGCAAATGTGCTGTTGCCTGCAAATTGGCTGCAACCACCTACGTTCATCACATGTATATTATTTTAAAATAAGTTTACACTATATCATGTCCACGAGCATTTGACTCGTTAAACTATAATAACATCTATCCAGATATTTACGGAGCTTACCTTTTAGAATAATAATAAATATTGGTGTTCCTCTACATATTTCTATTTCCAATAAATTCCAATAACCAAATGTCATGCGTTCCTATTCTCACAAGTCTAAAAAATCTTCCCAGCCGTACACAGGAATAAGGGCAATTGTTTTATCAGTATATGGTCTATCTAATCAATGGGACACACGACTGGCACAGATGTGTCACGAAAAAGAAATAGAAACTTCGTCTAACGCACTCGGTTAGAAAAAATATAATTGCCAAAGTTCTCACCTCATATCAGAAAAAGTAAGTAAATTACAAGTACTGGAAAGTCCAATTCTTATTTTAGTCTTAGTGTAAAAGCTAATAGAAATGACTAATTTTAATAATCATATCTGTTGATATTGATTTGTAAATATGTCCAATGTCTACGAAAAAATGTTTAGGAACAAATATATGTATCATCCTGGTTTAAGTCAGATAAAGCACTCGACGCGAAGCTTTATGCGAAATGGAGCAGATAATTGTTCCGAACTCATTTCGCTTTGAGATAATCTCCGCGATTTATCTATAATCCGTGCATGTTGTGACCTTGTGCGCGAAATGATAAAACCGAACAGATAGTTCCACCAAAATTCACTGGGGATTTTTGATGCCAACGGCTATATATATATAACCTAAAATGAACAATGAAAATTATCATCGCTGAGCAAGGGAATAAAGTGGTTTCGAAAAGGCTTAGCTTTGAGACAATAAAGCCAGCGACCATCAATTATATTGCTTTATTTTTTGCTGAAGAGATGATGTTAACACATTTATTTCATTGGAAGGGTGTAGTGATGGTACTCTGTTTGGTCCATGGTGAGTACTGACTATTTGCAGAAGGTATTCTCGCTTAAAAGACAGATTATTTAGATTGCCTGTATTGCATCTGCATTTTTGGGGTAAATCCTTTTTTATAGGTGTTTCAAAAATTGGTTTTGTAAACGTCGACATAATATTTTCTTTTTTACAATATTCCGCATTTTTACTGAACCACTTCTTGGCTACAAAGTCAAGTCATCACCTGGGGTATCATACCATTCTACAAAAAGACATGACTAAAATGGCATAACGATTATATTTTTCTTCGGNTGAACGAAGCCTAAGTGTGAGACCTGAACGTCGGCTTGACTTTAATATTACAAGAAAAATGATTTGCCTATAATCTTTAAAGAGTTAATTGAGATGCTTTTGAAAAGTATACTGCACTATTTTGAGGCGAATCAAGGAATATCGATAGGAATAGAGTAAACCAACTTTTTAAACCTCGTGATACTCACCATCAAACAACAGCAGTGATAGTACTGAACACTTCCAAATTTTCAAATTCCCCGACATCTTGTGAGAACCCTGTCTGCCAGTGTTAAGCACAGAGCGTGTGTACTTGCTTATTATAACTGTTGGCTTTCAAAATTGTTTTCCTCTTGATGATTGTTATAATGACAACTTGCGTACACTACTCTGTCTGCACTAAATGGCAGCTGGGAACAAAACATCTTAAATCCACCAACGTGCTTCTTGATTAAAAACCTTCCGCGCGAGGTCAACGAGACCCTGTTAAAGTGCACGTTATTGGTAGAGATTATGTTATGTTTCCCTTCTGTATCAGCAGGCTCGCAGGAAGGATTGCAGTAATCTTGTATGGAAAGGAAGTCACGTCAGAAATTCCTTTTTATGCAGGGTATTATACTCATACGGTTTATTTAAACATTTGGCATCATACCCTTAATATCCGTTTTCTGGTTTGAACTTTACTGAAGCTGTGTTGGCCGCGTTTCTCAAGTATGAAGAACGTGGATAAATGCAATCGTTGATAAAGTCCGTCTCTCTGGGTTTGACCTTGACTCATTTATTTATAAAAGCACGGTTTAGATAATATTTATGGCATATGGTGACTAGCACACATAAAACCCTATTGAATGGTTCGCTGAATGGTAATACCAATAAATCATAACACGCCACATGATGTGGGTTTAAAAAAGGAGTGGGTAAGCAACAATATTTAGGAGGAAAGGAAGAAGCCCGTTAAATCTATTATAGTACATTTAAGGGGGGTATTAGGTGAGTAGCTATAGCTGACATCCGATGTATTTTAAATGCACAGTAAAATGGGGGTGGGTATTATATGGCCCAGTAAATGGATTATATGTAATAAACCTTATTTTCAAATTTGAGATGAGGAGAGCTGAGATATGCAGTTCCACATTGCAAATATTATTTTGTGTGAAACAATTGTGTTTGCATGCTAAGAGGAACAAAATGGCAATTAAGCTTCACCTTCATGTACCTTCTCACTCAACATACTTCCGGTTTTGAAGTTCATCGCCAACGGGAGGGGGGGGACTCTGGAAAAAGAGTATGTACTACATTAGAATTACAAAAGTGTTGTTGCCTGCAAATTCGCTGCATCCACTTACGCTCAAACTCTTGTATATTATTTTAAAATAAGTTAACACTACATCATGTCCACGAGCATTTGACTTGGTTAACTACAATAACATCTATCCAGATATTTACGGTTCTTACCTTTTTAAATATTAATAAATATTGGTGTTCCTCTGCATATTTCTATTTCCAATAAATTCCAATAAACAAATATCATGCTTTCCTATTCTCACAAGTCTAAAAATCTTCCCAGCCGTACACAGGAATAAGGGCAATCGTCTTATCAGTATGGTCTATCTAATCAATGGGACACACGACTGGCACAGATGTGTCACGAAAAAGAAATGGAAATTTCGTCTAACGCACTCGGTTAGAAAAAATATAATTGCCAAAGTTCTCACCTCATATAGGGCATTCGACGCAAAAGGCCTAGTTCATCTCAGAAAAAGTAAGTAAATTACAAGTACTGGAAAGTCCCGTTCTTATTTTAGTCTTAGTGTAAAAGCTAATAGAAATGATTTATTTTAATAATCATATCTGTTGATATTGATTTGTAAATATGTCCAATGTCTACGAAAAATGTTTAGGAACAAATATATGTATCATCCTGGTTTAAGTCAGATAAAGCACTCGACGCGAAGCTTTATGCGAAATGGAGCAGATAATTGTTCCGAACTCATTTCGCTCGTACTTTGAGATAATCTCCGCGATTCATCTATAATCCGTGCATGTTGTGACCTTGTGCGCGAAATGATAAAACCGAACAGATAGTTCCACCAAAATTCACTGGGGATTTTTGATGCCAACGGCTGTATATATATAACCTAAAATGAACAATGAAAATTATCAGCGCCGAGGAAGGGAATAAAGTGGTTTCGAAAAGGCTTAGCTTTGAGACAATAACGCCAGCGACCATCAATTATATTGCGTTATTTTTTGCTGTAGAGATGATGTTAACACATTTATTTCATTGGAAGGGCGTAGTGATGGTACTCTGTTTGGTCCATGGTGAGTACTGACTATTTGCAGAAGGTATTCTCGCTTAAAAGACAGATTATTTAGATTGCCTGTATTGCATCTGCATTTTTGGGGTAAATCCTTTTTTATAGGTGTTTCAAAAATTGGTTTTGTAAACGTCGACATAATATTTTCTTTTTTACAATATTCCGCATTTTTACTGAACCACTTCTTGGCTACAAAGTCAAGTCATCACCTGGGGTATCATACCATTCTACAAAAAGACATGACTAAAATGGCATAACGATTATATTTTTCTTCAGCTTGAAATTTATTACTGTCTGGTAGAAAACATATCAATCCAAGTGTATATCAAAAATATTATAAATACAGCATTTAGTTGACATACCACTAGTGTATTTCTAAATTATGCATTTTTCTTTTAAATTTCAAACTTTAACTAAAATTTTCATGGAATTCCAATGGTATTCCCATGCAGGCATAATGCGAGCAATGAAAAAACCTATGGCAACTTTCTAGCGACTGGGATTGCTTAAAGGTTGCTAAAAGGTTGTAAGCGCAGTGTGACCAAAGCTTCTGATAAATAAATATGCGTTCCTGCTCGTGCCCCTGCAGCCGTATCCATGTACGGTCGAGTTCCAGTGTAATGCTAGCTTTCAGTACCTCATACGACAACAGGGCTCCGTATC